CCTTAACAAAGCCTCTTCTACGTGGTGTACAAAATTGTTTGTTCTCAAAATCTGTTTAATCGATTTTCATTAAACTTTGCCGTTTTCCATTAATTGTGATGAGGAATCAAAAATTTAATAAAAAAGGGGGTCAATGACATAGTTTTCAATATATAAGATTGTAGCACAAGTGTATGCAACAAAGCAATTTGAAAACTATATGAGAAACTTTACTAACTTCTTGTGTTATACTGTGACTGTTATATGATAAATGAAACATTAGGGCTGTAATAAAAAAGTATAATTATATTACAATACACATACCTTTGTATTTGAATACCAAATTGATAAATAAGTAGTGAATATTTAGTAAAACTTTGCTATGTTGTAGATTTTTACATTCCACAAAATTAAATTTTTGATAATTTTTAGTCTCGGGATTAAACTGCATAACATTCTTGACGCAATGGAATTAAAGACACGTCAATATGGTTTACATACTGTACTTTAATAATAATGATTGTCAGAAAAAATAAAATATTATCCGTCATAATTTAATTTAGCTATTTTATAATAAAGTCGGAGTATGAATGATAAAAACAGTATATCATCGCATAATTTCAAAATTAAAAACACCTGGATTGTTAAGGCTTGGCTGTAACAACATTGGATTAATTTTATATTTATATTAACTCTGACATCAGACACGATGATACCCAGTGCTGGCTCAATGGAAACTTACCCTTTAGGCAAAACTGACTTTTGCTGCCTGTTTCCAGAACAGTTGCCAAATAGAGAGCATTTCTATTGGCACTCTTATATGAACTATTTACGGATAACTTTAAAGTTTATGTACAGAAAAATCACTGTATTCAGCTTATTTTAATTTTTTTTCTGCTCTTGAACATCACTCTCATTTTGCTGCTTGAGACGATCATCTTAACCATCGAGCCAGCCCTGATGATACCATTGTTTCTCTGCTGATTGGAAAGTTATATGAGAAATATTACATAATTTTTTATTTAACTGTTTTGCTACATTTAAAAATTAAATTAAATCTATTAGTCAATATTACATATATTAATAAAAATAAATAATTTTTATAAATAACATTTATTTTAATCNAAACTACTATGTAGCAAATAATATATTATATTAAGAAAAAAACCTTTAAATCAATTTTTGATGAACGTAGTTAAGAAGTTACGAGTGTGTACGGTTCTAATGTTATGCAGACTCAGATTTACAAAGTATTAAATATGCAATCTTATAGAATTAAATTTATATTTTTCATATTGAGTTTTCTGATTAAAATTTTTTATGTTCTTGGGTGGTGTTTTAGGAGAAAATTCAATTATTTATGATGAGATATAGAGCAGGCATAGCGAATTTTTTAAAGCATACTTAGCTTGAAAGACGTTTACGTTTGAAAAATTGTAAACTTCGAATAACGATGTTTACAAAAATTAAAAAGATATGTATAAAGTCAAATAATTTTAATGAAGCTGATTAGAAAACGACGATAGGGTGATTAAAAAGTTATTTGAAAAAAACCGACTATAAATTGAAATCAAATGATATCTACCAGATAACTTTTTGTTCGAAGCCAAAGGCTTGCCGGCCCCAATACAGAAAATTTATAGTATCAAAGAACTTTAGGTTCTTTAATAAGTTTATACAACCCTTTGTACAAAAACAATAAATAACTGTTTATTAAAAGTAGGATATGGTTAACAAGTTATCTGGAAACAAATTTCTGGAAGGGAAGTCTTTACATTTATTCTCCAAAGCAATTCTTGAGTCTCTCCAAAATATATTTCTGTAAAATGTGATTCCAGTCCTCTTTGAAGACTTTTGTTCATATCCTACCATGAAACTACATTCTTGGTCAAATTTTGCATTTGCACAATATGTTACAAAAAATGTATAATAGGATTCAGTAGATTTTAACACTATTGGTTGATAAGAGTAGTATAAGTTTGAACCACTTTGGGTATATTTTTTCTATGTCAAAACTACAGCAAATATTGATTCAAACTTTATTCTTTGAATTATCAAAAAAGTATTCCAAACTTTCTAAATTTGAACTTTTATTCTAAGTTCTTAAAATCTAAAGTAAATCAAAGTTTAAATAAAATATAACTTTAAAAAAACTTTATTATCAATTTTTCTAACAAAAGTATAAAAACAGAACAAAAAAAACAAACAATTCTAAAATATTCTGGCAACTGCATTTTATTATTAACATCGAATGTTTTCAATTTTTTTTTTTTTTTTAATATCCCTTCAGTATGTTTTCATTAACGAATGTAAAGATAAGCATAACAAAAGAAATAAACGATCTTTATACCTAATTTTCTCGTGGTATCGAGGTAAACAAACATTCTTTCAAAAATTTAAACTGTGTTAGAACGAATATCAAGTTAAAAATTACCAACGACTTTAGTAAACTATACCGTTTTCAAGCGAAAATTCTATTAAAGTAAATTTAATGAAATTGCAAGGTTGAAACATATTCTTATCAGAAAATTCAATAAGTAACACAGCATTTATAAATTTACGACCTTTTGAAATTATATAGAGATAATTATACACATTAAAATTCGCGTAGTAAATTTATTGACTTTTTAGCGATAAAGATACATTTTTTTAAAAAAATGATGTTAATTAAATAAATGTGTGTAACTTCCATACATTAAAAAAATGCAAAATTTGTTTAATGGCCAATTTAATTTTATAAAATTTATTAATTTTAAATTTTAAATCAATTCATTTGTTTAATTTTTTAAATTTAATTTTAAAATTAAATATATTTCACTTAATAAGTTCTTAACTTAATAAATTTCGATATAATAAACTTAATTCAATTCTAAAATTTTATTTATTTTACAAACTTGAAATATCTTTTTGTGAGAAAAATCGATTTCATATTTCATTTAATGATTCAATTAAAAATTTTTCATTTCTTTCTAGCTCTCAATTTCACCTGAAATAATAAGAAATTAAAGTTTAGAATTCTCTGAAATAAATAAATATCGATATAAATTATTGCATAATTAATATAAAATGTAACAACTAAACAACCAGTTAATGTTGGAATTTTAAAATAAATTAAATAGTTAAAACGTGAAAAATTTGTAATAATTGATTCTGAGTACGTTAAAGTAAAAAATTAATCGATTTTACCTTATAAATTAAAGTAATTAATAGATTTTTTGTCATAAAATGAAATTACTAATCGATTCGTGTGACTAAACTAACAAAATTAATCAATTTCGAGCAATAAAAGTTTTTATTAATCGATTTCAACGGTATAAAATCGTAAATTAATCGATCTTTAGAAAACGTGCTAAAATCAATGAATTAATCGATTTTAATAATCGATTTTCTGAATTAATCGATTTCTAATATGATTCATTTCATTTATTCGTTTTCAATAATGAAAAAATAAGTGATCGATTTCATTTTATTTTTTATTTTTATTTTTATTTGAAATTGAACATTTTATTCATTTTATTTTTGAAATTTGATTCATTTTATTTCGTAAAGTGGATTTATTTCATATTGTGTTTATTTTGTTATTGTATTTTGTTCTTTAGAAAGCGGATTAGCTTTATCTTTTTAAATTTGATTAATTTAACGGTTTATTTTTTAAATTGATGAAATGGAAGTTTATTTATTATATTTTTAATAATTTTATTTATTTTTTTTGGCCTTCTCCACCATTCGAATCATTTCATCCTTTATATAAAATAAGATTAATTTCTTTCGTCTTTAAAACTTGATCGATTTATGCGATTTTTTAAAACATGATTAATTTCATATGATATTGATCAATTTGTGATCGATCTTATTCGTTACGTGTGATTAATTTCATTGTTTTAAACGTGATCAATCTCACTTTTAACGCTGTCAATATATATAAAAATTGATATGAATCAAGTAAGTCATCAAACATATGTAAATACAATATAATAATATTCATAAAATTAAAAAAAAAATTTTTAAATAAATAATTATATGATATTTATAATTTCACGTAATAATCAATTAAAAAATATATTTATTTCTTATAAAATACATTTATGTAATCCCGTTTTTATATAAATTAAGTTTCATTAAATTCGAATAGTTTGTCATTAAAAATTTAATTAACAATTACTCGAAATTAATTGAAATAATTTTTAAATTAATTAGAAATTTAAAAAAAAATTAAATAAAATTGAAAATATTTCCGTTAACTCGCATATAAATTTGTTTTCATTAAAAATTATATAATGTTTTTTTTAATGTCCTTATATAAAATTTTAAATATTAATTTTATTAAATTGATGATAATCTCTTAAAAGAGAATCATTTATTTNCACAAGGTCTTCCAATTAATGTCGTACAGTAGGTCTAAGGGAAGTTAATGTCCGTATTGGTCGTTCAATTGGCGACTCCCCCGAGAGGGGAAGGAGGAGGGCTTTTATACGTTTTGTGGTGGGAAAATTCATCAGGTGACCAATTGTTTTAGCAGGTGTGGGTTTAAAGTTGGTGTTAGAATGACAACATTATGACGAATTGTACTGGTAATTGCAAACTATACATGACTTGATCGTGAGAATGTTTATAGGTAAATAGAAGGAGTTATAAATTTCTCATGCACTTTATATTTCATTTTTGTAGGTCCAAATTCCTTTAACGGAATTTATTATAAATTTAAAGGATTAACTTCTTTTATGAAATTATATGAACTTCGAATTTCACTTTTGCTCAGATTTGATCCTGGGTTTCCTAGAGTAATAAGTTGATGCTTTAACTGTCTCAGCCATGTGGTTGTCATGTACAGAAGTTAATTATGTACGGAGTACTTTTATATTTTCAAAATGTTAGATTGAAATATAGTATTATTCTATTTATTCTGATTTTTTTTCTTACTACTTAGAATAAGTTAATGTTTATATTTAATTTTTATAATAAAAACTTGAAAATATTCGTTTTATGAGTTTTTATCCTCTTTCATATATACATAGGAAGAAATACAGCAGTATCGAAAAGAAATGAATATGACTTTGGAAGGAAAAAACATTCCTAAACCAATCACTTCATTCCAAGAAGCTAATTTTCCAGGTATTTAAATTTTAAATTATTTTTGTGTAATAGTTAATATTATCATTATTATCTTGCTAGTCACTATCTTTCAAGGTGAGTGTTCAGTAGTCCCAATGAATCATAGAGCAGTGTTGGTGACAGCATAAGCTGCTAGGAGGGCCATCTTGTCAGTAAGGTCTATTGAGCGAAATGAAGCAGAATGATGCTCAAGCAGTGTCTGATTTAGAATGGATAGCTATTAAATACTGTCTATTCTATCTGTTAGGAGTAGCTGATGTATACATGAATTTAGTTATATCAGCACATCCACTAGTGTGGAGAAAGAAAAATGGTTTTGACATGTTCTCAGCATAATAGTGGCTCAGGTATTGTTTGGGTAAAGTATTTCACATTCACGGGTTAGGCAAAAATTTGTTAGAAAAATATCTGCAGTCTCCATTGGCTACTGGTGGTAAATGCAATACTGGCCTAAGTATGGCTACTGCATCACAACCACAACCTCACATGCATACAATGGATAACACACACCAATCTAGCCAAAGTGCTTCAGTGCAATATAGTCACCAACCATCTAGACTGGAAAACCATATCAATGGAGGAACTGAACACAAAAAATAAATAAATTCATCATTCATACTTACTACATTATCACAAAACTTTAAATGGACATTACAGCATACAGACAATGACTACATGACAAATGCACACAAAACTACAGTAAAGTTAAAAATACAACAGTTTCCAATTGGCATTCATTCCAGTACGCCAATAACACAATGAAAAATTCAAATAGTTTGTATTTCCCAAACTTGTCCATTAAGAAAACACCTTACAACCAACGAGTAGTTGACTAACAGTAACACTTTCTTCAGGGATCACAGAATATAGTTAGCAAGATGGATCCAAACTCAAATTTCCTGCTTCCACATCAACTTTATATTGTCGTTGACATCAGACAGCCAACCAATCAGTGGTTTCACTATTCCATTTCTGCCTCAGTGGCATGATCTTGCCAATTGTCTTTTCTCCGAGACACATGTGCCACCAATTTAAATACAACCAATTGTGTTCTTCCACGATATCTCCTCAACAACTGCCAATATCACACTGTTACAGAAAAAAAGGCTGTTGACTAGAAAACAACAATTTTATTCTGCAAACAACACTAGATTACTAAATAATGTGTGTAACCTACTGTATTTTTGCAGATTGTCTGGCATGTTGGTCTTATCTAGGGAAACCATGAAATAAGATATGGAAATATTTGATTTCATGGTCTCCATGGCATGCCAGTATGCCAGTTTAAATGTTATTATACATTTTGTTTCTAGAGGGCACATTAAAAAACAAATGAGTTTTAACTCTAAAACTGTGAAACTTGGCATTACATCAGAAACTATGAGTATATGTTTAATTTCTTTATTTTGTCTTCTTTCTAATGATGTAAAATACAGTAAAACCCCCTTAACGCTGCCTCACTTAGCACTGATTCAATATAATAGGGTCTTCTTGAAGCCTAAAAAAAGCTCAAAATTTATGCCAATTTAAAATATTGCAGCATTTCATTGATTTGTATATAATATGATTATTTATGAACATGAACCAATCAGAAAATGGTGGCAAAAAGGTGTACTTTCTTTAAATCTGTTTGTTTGGTGCAGTTTTGAAAAAATATAACATCATAGATGCCATAGGCAATATCAGCTTCGTTTGGCAAGAATTAACCGATAAATGCATGAATGAAGTGTGGAAGAAGTTATGGCTAAAGGTATCCAAGAATTCTCAACGAGAAGAGCCTATTGCTGTATTGTTAGGTTGACTAAAATTGTCAACCTAATCAATACAGAAGGACTAGGAGATAATAAATTACCAAACAATCACCTAAATATCTAGGAGATGTAGATGAGGATGAGGATATTGAGGAGTTACTGCAGATTTCTGGTGAGAGTCTTACCAACAATAACCTTCAAGAACAGGAAGAATAAGGAATTCATGTAGAACTGGAAAATAGAGACTCTGAAAACAAAGAACCCAAAAATTTCTCTACAGATTTCCTTAGTAAAAATTTGGTAACGATAACCAAAATTGTTGATTAAATTGTAGTGAATGATCCAGATTTTGAAAGGAGTGCAAAAGCAAAACAAGACATTTTGGATGCAATCTTCTGCTACTGACATTTGCTTAAGGAAAGAAAAAAAGCGACAAATGAAACTTCATGGCTTTATTGCAAAAAACAAGAATTTCAGAAAAGTCAGAAACTTCATCACAAAAAATTACCTTTACATTTTTGTGTGCATATGTTTGTGTTATTTAACATATATTATTATGCAAATCAATATAAAAATAACTTAAGATTAAAGTAAAATTTGTTTATTTTTGGTCGCATATTACCATATCCCTATTTACTCTATGTTAAAATGACCTTGTTTAGCGCTTTGTCGTCTAGGAGTGCATCCCCCATGTTAAGCGGGGTCTTACTGTACTTGTGGAATTCTGAAGGGGCTTTTTATGTTTATTTTATTATAATTTGATTCAAAAATGCAAAAAAAATAAACACATTAAATTTTAGAAACTTGCTGTAAATTATCTCAACTTACACCTATTAATATCCCTTTTTGTGTTAAATTAGAGAGGAAGGTGTTATTTTTAAGGTCAGGGTAGATGGTCAATGCAGCCCACACTGACTAACTACTACTACTACTATAAGTTGTTAATTGTTTTATTGTCCTGTAAAGGAAAACCCTCTTCCTGATTTAAATCAGTCAAATTACAATGTTATTATTTTAATGTACTGGAAGAATGTTTTCTTTAACGTTTATTTAACAATTAGTTTTGTTATATCTGATTAATTTTATTTTTTAGTTGCAGTTTGACCAGTATGCCAATAACCCTGGGGTCTGGCATGTTGGTATTCCCCAGTTATATGCGGCATGCTGGTCAATCCACAAAAATATGGTATCTATTCACTATTTTGGAGGACTTATTACTGGTTATTTCCCTAAATTTTAGTTGCTAGTAAACACCATTCAATTGTCCAATTGACTACTTAGTAATGATTTTTATAAAGAAGTCAATTGATTTCAAGTCAGTATAAATATCAATAATCATTATAAACATAAAGGTTTAGAAAGGATATTAGGTACAGAGATTGTAACTACCCAAAATAAATATATTCAAACAATTAGGAAAATTCTACTCTATCTAAATATACAGATCAGTAAAATACATTCAACCTGGTTCAACACTTTTGGACATACATACATTAGCTTATTCTGGTACAGTCACTGTGATGGTATACCAAGGTCATTAAATATACACTCACAAACAAACAATAATGTGTCAATGTATTCCTTTGTGTGTAAATACACACAAAGGAATACATTGACTAATGTGTCAATGTATTCCTTTGTGTGTAAATACACACAAAGGAATACATTGACACATTATTAAATGTAAAGAACGGCTATTCATAGATTTAGTTATTCTACAAGAAGTATATAAACAATACATAAACCTACATGTAACATTTATAGTTTATGGGAAAACATTTGATAGCATCCACATCCATACTACATCTTTACAAAATACATAAATACTTATTACATTTCTAGAAAACTCAGTGCAATACTGGAGAACAAACTATGTATTAGACTTTGTTACATACTTTTAAAACAAATCAAATACATTATTATAATTTTTCCAAAGAGGTTGATTACCTGAGTCCACTGTAGTTCTGTTTGGTCCTAAATCAACAGTCATATAGGTTAAACAACACAATACATTTTTCTATGTCACATTTTTATATGAAGAAAACTAAATCACATATTAGCGTATGCTTATGCCATTGACATACAAATAATTTGGCCTAAACAAATGCAAAATGCTGCACACAGAAAAAAGGAATTCTAAAGAAGGAAGACTTTGAACATGGACTTCATTGAGTCTGTGTATTGAAAGCAAAGGATAAAAGTATTATTTCAGATTCCAAAAGACCAAACTCAAAAAAATACAGACCAACAAGAAGTCAAACACACAATTAAAATGTTTTAATTGTATGTTATGCATTCAGATTATAAATATATATGGTATCCCAATATTCACATTTATTTGGAGTTTATGCATTGAACACACACACAACTAGATGATTTTAAAGTAAAAGCATGAATAACAATAATAATAAAGTCATCATCTCATTTATTGGAGAAAATAAGGCTTCTGTATATTTATTGAAGAAAAAGCAATAAATACACAGGCATCCATTAAAAATGGATAAGAATTTTCTGTGTAATATATCTTTTAACAAAATTTACAAATTACTATTTTACAATATATATGTCAAATTTACATGTTTTATATAAAATCTACATAGTGTGATTTGCTTTTTTTCATGTAGATTATATTATGAGTGTCATCGAAAAACAGAATTATGAAACTCCAACAGCAATTCAAGCACAGGGATGGTCTATTGCACTTAGTGGAAGGGATTTAATAGGAGTTTCTCAAACTGGATCCGGGAAAACTTTAGCTGTAAGTAATTTCATGTAATAAAATATAAATCAGTTTTAAATGTGTACGGTAAATCTTTATTTTCAGTGAGAAAATAATTACTTAAATTACTTTTTACAAAGTTTTAAAATTGTTTCAAATTGCTGACAAGTTAATCAGAAAATTTAATAATTATTAATAAATTTTACAAAATGATTGTTTCTAATATTTTTAGTATCTGCTACCTGCTATTGTGCACATTAAAAATCAGAAACATGCTAAATTAGATGACGGACCAACTGTAAGTTTATTAACATTTTTTTTATACACTTCATAGTTTAATTAATTAGTTTAAAAAATTAAAAGTTTTATATGTTTTGCATTTTTATTGGAATTGCACTTTCTATACTGAATGAGCAAATATGTATAAACCATGTTTAAGAAACCATTATTAAGAAAGTGTTCCATCTATTTGTGATTTTAGCATAATTTTTGAATAAATATAATAAAAATCAATTATATAAAAGTGTAGCCAATGATAATACATTTCTAATTGTGTTAATTACATCAATCATCTTCTTTAGCAAATTTAAATGTAGTTTTTAAATACTGTATTATACACTGCTGGCCTTCCAAAATGCAACATCAAGAAGGACCAGAGATATCACAGCCGAATTTATTTGGGAGGTAACACATTGTACAAAGATCAAATGATTGAAAATACAGTCTCTTGTGAAGTGAGGAAGATGATGGAATCAATATGGAGTGTTGCCACCGTTGCTGTCTATAACCGCTGCTACACGCCTCGGCATTGAGTCAAACAGGCTTTGGATATGTTGTTGGGGTATAGTATTCCGTGCTGCTTCTACATATTGCCAAAGTTGATCTGGTGTAGCAGTGGGTGGTGTATCCCAGGTCAGTCATTCTGCAATCATCAACCAGATGTTTTCTATAGGTGAGAGATTGGGAGAATAAGGAGGCCAAGGCAGCAATGCAATCTGATGGGTGAAGAAGAAGTCTTGAGCAATGCGTGCCACGTATGGTCGTGCATTATCCTGTTGGAATGTGGCCATTGGCAAGCTCTGAAGGTATGGGAGGACAACAGGCTCCAACACCTCAGAGATATAGCACTGGCTGATCAGTGTACCGGCAATGTGTACTAGGGGGTGCGGGGGAGTGGAATCCAATACCACTCCAAACCATAATACTGGGTCTAGGACCAGTATGGCAATGCATAAGGCAATTCAGCAGTCTCTCACTGCAGTGTCTCCAGACTCTAATCCGACCATCATGGTGTTGCAGGCAAAAGCGGGATTCATCAGTAAAAACAATGTTGTTCCATTCGGTTGTCCATGTCTGTCGTCCATTGCACCATTGCTGGTGCAAACGCCTGTGGTTTTGACTCACGGTAAACGCAGCAATGGACGCCTTGCAGACATTCCACTCTGCTGCAAACAACGTCAAATGGTATGCGCAGACACCAATTGTCACACAACAGACCGAATTTGTTGTGATATGGTTTGTGATGTGGCACAGCAATCCATCACTGCCATGTGCACAATATGCCTGTCATCATGTGCAGTGGTGCAACAAGGTGGGTGCAATCAGTCCTGTCGATCCGTTGTTCCTTCCTGTATCCAGCGGTTACAGGTCTGCATCACAGCTGCTTGGTTATGTCCGACACAATCACTGATTTCTCTGAAGGGTAATCTGCAATTCCTATAGGCAACTATTCTTCCTCGGTCAAACTCAGAAATGTGCTCAAAAGATGCTTGTTTTCTTCTGTGTGGCATACTGAAGCTGTTTATGCCAAAAAAACACACGAAAAAACAATTACAGTACTTCAAAAGGCCTTCTATTCTCCCTTTATATAGCACTTGCAGGTGGTGCAACAGGTGCCCATGATGTGCGTCTGCGCTGAAATGCTAATCATTTGCATATCATTTGCATCTCATCGGCACAAACGCATGGTGCAAATTTTACTTGATTTGGATGCTTCCTTCAGGGTGTTGCATTTTGGATGGCCAGCAGTGTATATTATTGTCTTAAAATATTTCTTTTCAAAAATAGTTTATCTTAGAGTTGTTTATTTAAAGTGAAGAGGTTGCTAATGAAATATAATTTTAAGTAAAAAAATGTTTGTTTATATACTTAACTGAAAATAGAATATGAAATGATCCTGTAAGGAGAAAATGAAAGGTTTAAAAATAATAAGATTATTTTAATTTTAATATTTATGAAGTGTATGGATTAAATTGTGTTATTTATTTAAATCTTAGAAGTATAAAAATTTATTTCAAAATAAAAATATTAAAAGATACTTTTAAATGGTATAAGTTAATGAAATAAGTTATTAAATTAAGTGATCCTAATAAATTTTTTAATTTTATATAATAAAGCAAGAGTTACTCTGAAAAATTTTAAAATATTGCCAACCATTCACCAGTTGTAAATTTTTGTTGCTACTTCAAATTATCTATTGCACCAGTTTTACATACTAATTAATGCAGGTGCTGATAGCCTTATCAGTTTGGTGTCTGGAAAGCAAAAGTAACATATTAAGCTGTCACAAGGAGAGGGCCACATTTGAGTCTTTTATTTGAATGAAACCTGGTGAGCTTGTAGCCTTAAACATAAACAGTTCCTTATCTAAATAATAGGACCCACTTCTCAAGCATTTCCCAAAAAAGGACCTCTGAAAATTTAGTGTTTAGGTTATAAGTCTTTGGAAGTTTCATGTCTGAGTGGCGTTAGCCAAGTGGATAAGGTGCTAGATACTGGAGCTAGTTGATTTAGGTTTGAACGTATGAATTTTTGGTTAGGCTTTTTTTTATGTGTAACATTATTATTTTATCACATCATTAGCATTATTATTACTATTGTTATTCCTCATTTAAAGCTTATAAAACAAGAGATAAAAAATTGTGACTTAATTTCCAATTTCAAAAAACAAATCTCTGTAGATTAACTCTTTTACGTTGTTAAATAAAATTTTTATTTCTTCATTTTATTTTCAGATATGATAGTATTGTGATATTTGAAGTGTAACAAACATGAGCGCATGAGGAAATTGTGCATAATATTAACAATTAAAAAAAAATAAAACACTGCAACTGTCTACTGTATTTTCATATCAGACTTGTGTTTTTTGTCCATACACAGTAACGTCTGAAGCTTATTTGCTTTGTGAGAACACAATATGTAAAATATGTGAAAACTAGCTGTTACCTGTGACTTTGCTCGTGGGGATTTTGCAAGCAAACCCCATTTATATTCAGTATTTCAACAACCATAGTAATTGTTATATAATACCCACCGCTGAGAATGATGAGAATTGCTGAGAATCAAACAAACCGTTTTCAATTTGATCAATTTTCTGGAACATTTACAATCGATCTGTAATCAAACCAATATGCAATAACAAATTCGAATTTAAAACGGTTCGAACATTTGGTTAAAAAATCGAAATATATAAAAATATTTATAACAATGTCTTAAATGCTATCAATTTAATACACCTAAGTACTCAATGAAAAATAAACATAGTTAAAAACAAAAAATCACATCTAAAATAGTACAGTAGAAGCCGTTCTTCAAGTTAAGCCTTAACCCTCTCCCTCTCCCCCACAAGGGAGAGTTTCAAAAAATCCCTTCTTAGTGTGCATTTTCATGATGTACCCTAACTGTGTACCAACTTTTACCTCTTTAAGTTCATAGGTTTGCTCTAGGCCAGGGGTGGCCAAAACGTGGCGCATGCGCCAAACTTGGCGCTTTGGACGATAACAAATGGCGCTTCAGTCGGTTCCGAGCAACATTGCCAGATTTGGCTTCATTGCAATTATGAATATTACATAGAAAAATTAATTTTTTACAGTGTGTCTTGGCAAGTTTATTTCTTACACAATTCGGTGCAATTGACCTGTTGACTTTTTTTTTTTTTTTTTTTTTTTGCTTGTACGTTACACGATGCATTCGTGTTCGCGTACACCACTGATGTCATATAGAACTATTTTATACGGGTAGCTACACTACAACCGCATTTTTCATTGCTTGTTCTGTGGCAAATCAGAATTTTCGTCTTATAAATTGAAATACCTAATTAACGGGTGGCCGAAATTTTTCTCCGCCCCGGGCTGCTAACACTCACGATATGCCACTGCGCATCTGAACTCGTCTATCAAAAAATTGGCGCATGGTATGCAAAAGGTTGGCCACCCCTGCTCTAGGCGATGATGAATCAGTCAGTCAGGACAAGTAATTTTATATACAGTCAACCCCCCTATAACATGGTAGATACGTTCCAGTTTTTATGAAATCCATTTTCTACGAGTCCTTAAATACATGAGCCAATCACTGCCAATATACAGTTTACGGACTACGGCTGTTTGAAAGGTTTTCTTCCATAAAATTAATCGATTCTAGACTAATTTGACTCAACATTTCCAAAATACATATAATTTTTTGGGAATAATCCATATAAACTATGCTATAAACAAAAAATTGTAGGATTACTTACCAAGTGTACACCGTTCGATGACACCATTGCTTAAGCTTGTTTTTGTTGTGGATCGGTGCATCAAATGGCGCTCGCATGCTTCCTGATAAATTATTTTTCTGCGAAAACTTTGCTGAACTTTGGAGACATCATTAATATAAATATAATTTTTATGGATGTTAAATAATAAATGGTTTGTGCAATATCCGCTTATTGGTCTAGATTCGACCAATCCTGTCGAGACATGAGTCGGCGATGACGTTTTACCGAATTATACGAGTCTTTTTTAGCATGTATATACAAATACAGTCACAATTTTTTCGCTGTCATATAGGAATCCGAACTATATGAACCCATTTTATAGGGGGGTCTACTGTATTTAGATAAATGTGAAGAAATAAAAGTGCTAAATCTACAGAGGCTTGTTTTCACTAAACAGAAAATTATGTCACAATTTTAATTTCTTGTTTTATAAGCTTTAAATGTGAGGAATAATAATAGTAATAATAATTCTAATGATGCAGTAAAATAATAATGTTACACACACAAAAAAAAATAACACAACTAAACTAAAATTTCAAAGGTTTGAACTTACATTGCTTAACTCCAGTGCCTAGTGTCTTATCTGTTTGGCTATAGCCACTCAAAGATGTGAAACTTTCAGACTTATAAGTTAAACATTAAATTTTCAGAGGCCCATTTTTTAGAAATGCTTGAGAAGTGGGTCCTATTATTTGGACAAGGAGCTGTTTATGTTTAAGGCTACATGTTCACCAAGTTTTGTTTAAATTGGAGACACAAACATCTGGCCCTCTCCTTGTTAGTAGTAGGAATCAGTTTTGAATAAATTTTTAATGAATAATTCTGAATAACACATTTGGTCACAATGTTTAAACAGTTTTTTCACAGGTTCTGTCATGTCAAAATTTTTTAGTCTACTAGTATTGGAATACATTGAAGTTTATTATATTAGTTGTTAAATGTATGATTCTTTACAGCTATTACATGCTATAAAAAAATTAACACAATTAATGGAAAAATCATTCTACCATCTAGTGAGAGAAAATAAAATAAAATTCACACATTGCCTGATATATTAAGTGAAAAGTGCTGACATCATTAGGGCATGAACTGATTGGTTTAACTAAAGCGACATCATGCATGTTGTTGATCTCAAGTTGATTCTTTCTGTAGACAGATTATAGAACAATTATTTTTTATGCTTTTTAATTGCTCTTGTTGAAATTAATTCTTTATATAGGTATTGGTGTTGGGACCAACTCGTGAATTAGTACAACAGATTTCTCAGGTTGCGTATCCATTTTTACCTGTTTCCAGACTTCGCAGTGCGTGCGTTTTTGGTGGTGCTGGAAGAGGACCTCAACTTCGTGATTTAGAAAATGGTAATAATTTGTTTTACATATCATTTAAATCTAATAATTAGATATAAAATTTGTGTACAGTTTTATTATTTAAAAGAGATTCTACTCCTTACCACTCTGGAAATAAAGCTCTTATATGGGTTTTGCAGTAATTACAATAAAGTTTTAAGGATTTTGTGACTATTATAAATATTTTCATCATACTGTAGATGCCCATATCTGAATAGTATAAAAATGTCCTGTGTTAATTGGAGTTTTCTTTTTCTCTAGGTGTTGATATTTGTATTGCTACTCCAGGACGTTTGTTAGATTTCCTCGAATTGAGTCAGGTTAATTTGGCACAGGTTACTTATCTGGTTTTAGATGAAGCAGACAGAATGCTAGATATGGGTTTTGAGCCACAAATACGAAAAATCATTGAACAAATAAGAGTAAGTATTCTAATAAAATAGTTTAAAATATATGAAGTGTTTTAACATGAAGAATTTAATGGAAAAAATTTAAAGTATATAATGGAAATTGCTTATGTTCCTACTATTATATTAAAAATATACTTTTAAATTATGCCTGATTTGTATTCAGATTGTCGAATTACTAACATTGAAAAGTAAGTAAAATTGGAAAGTGATGATAATGAAAAGATATTTAAATATTTTAAGTACAATTTCCAGAAAGTATTTGTTTTCAATATTATTACTTTCCAGTTTACTTGATGTCAATTATTAAATATCATATTTATCAAAATGTTATACAGTATAACCTCCAAATAGTGAACACCATCAGAATCAAGAAGTTTGTCTGCTATTCAGAGGTGTTTGCTATTTAAAGGTATATGCCGGCAGTGACCATATTGTATTTTAACCAGGTCATTATAATGTGAAGAATATGATGAATTACAAAAACATCAAATTTGCATTAGGAATGTGAAAATACCAAAAAGTAGAAGTAGCATATATATATTTATATAGTACAGTAGAGCATCGATTATTTGAAGCAATTTAGGACTGGGGTTGTTCGGATAACTGATCATGTATGAAAAGATATATTAACCTATCCCCTGTTGAAATTTTTCTCTGTTGCATGTCGCTTCATGTTCTATTTTTGTCTATGTTAAGCCTAACAAAAATTTTTTAAAAATAATAATCATGGCTATTGTATCATTAAAAATTATTTCTTTATTTTGCACAAACAAAATAAATATATTGAAAAATATAAAAACAAAAAAAAAGAAAATTATATTTCGGAAGTTAATCTAGTATCAAAAACATTCTGATTCAGCACGACACACAGTCGTCAGAAAAACACCGTACAAAATAAGCAAAACTCTTCCTTTTTCTTGGGTTTATCTGCAGATGTCAGCTGCTTGGGCTATATTCTCCTATGAGATGAAGCAAAACACACCACTCACGATGCAAGGTCCTAGAATATAGCTCATGATGGGGGGAAAAAAGCCTCATTCAAGTACTGGCGCGTCCTTAAGTACCCTCTCAACGTATTAGAATCAGAACGTTTTTGATACTAGATTAACTTCTGAAATATAATTTTTTTTGTATTTATATTTTTCAATATGTTTATTTTGTTTGTGCAGAATAAAGAAATAATTTTTAACGATACAATATGGTCGTTCCAGGGCTGCCAGTTAAAACACACACACCAAGAAAAATAATATTGGAGTAGCCCAAGACAGCCAAATATTGCAGTGCCACAGCACTAGCAGAAATTTGAATTTACCGACTGGCACGCTTTTGGTTAACCGATGTTTCGGTTGATAGGTATTCAGATAATCGATGCTCTACTGTATATTATTTATCTTGTGAGCTGTACAAATCACATTTTAATTGAATTTTGAATAACAAACAGATTATATAGGATATTTTAATTAAATGGAACAGAAAAAATATGGCAAAATGTAAACGTTGATTAATTATTAATTTATTGATTCGTTGATCAATTGTGAGGTTTGCTGATTGATAGCATTAGTCAGGATTGTTGCACGGTCACGACTATCATGTGGGAGTGAAAAAACTCTGAGACGGGTTCCTCATCATCAAGCCGTTTAATAAAAATTAAAATTTCTTACAACTATCTTTATAATAAGGCGTAATGCCTATCCAAAGGTATAAACAAGTCTGTACAAAAAGTTCAGATGTTCCAATGATCAAGAGGTTGAGAGCGACGGCCCTGGGGCACTCAGCATGGCTTGAAAAGATGATTTCCTGCAACTAGGTGTACCTTGACAATCTTGAAGGGACAGGAGAGCGAATCTTGGGATGTTGAAACAGCTTTCGTTATGGAATCCCAGGAACACAAAAACCTGTAGAGAGACACCTTGAATCAAAATGTCACATTTTTTTCGCACGGTTTTTATAAGCTTCTTTTGGGTCCCAGATGAAGCATTCCAATAGGTCAATGTTGACTTAACCCCCCTTTCTGATTGGTTTTTCACTTGTTACAAAATGTAATAAGATCAGAACCCAGACGACTGACAATTCGATCTTAGGACTTACATTCGTCCATTGTTTTAACTTGTAAAGTTCATCTTTCTTGGAAATTTCTACAGACATGTCCTTTTATGGACATGAAATATTCATTTTTTGTTTTCTTATTTGACAGTTTCTTTTTACAACATTAAATTATTATTATAATTATTATTATTATTGAATTTTTTTCTATACAAAACTTGATTTAAACCCACTTCCAGAGCTCCACACAATTATTAATTCATCAAAAGTCACCTTAGTGAAAGTAACAAAAATGAAAAATGAAACTGTTATTATGAACAGAGGGGTTTAGGTGATGAGAGTTGCAATGTGGAGTTATGAAGGCAATTTGCTAGCCAAGAGGTAAGAAATGTATTTGGTATTCTTGCATTTATAATGTCATTTATGATCTAAGCAACTAATAAAAATTGATATAGGGATTTGTCTGCTTTGAAGTTATCAGGGTGTAACTTTTTGAACATTTTTTGCTTTTTTCAATAAATGATTAATTAAAAATTACTTTAGCCGCCACAAAACTGTTAAGATCACAAATGACGTAATAAATTTGAGAAAACCAAATATCTTCCTATGCTTTAAAGTGGTCAGAAAATTGCTTTTGTGACATGATCTTTGAACTTTCACCACATAAACACTGCTGTTGTAACCATAAAACAGTTTGTTTTTCATTACTATTGTAATATGGTTCTTGTCAAATTAATGAATAACTTCGGAAAAGTTTATGGTTTCTTGGTACCGTAAGCTTAATTCCATCAATAAGACAGAAGTTTAATAACATTAATGATGATAAACGGTGACTGACAACTTAATCAGATTAGTCTTTTCTAACAGATAAAGGATATTGTGAGAATCTGAAGGTGGCCCAATTAAGTTAATTCCTTAATTAATTACTTAAAGTAATATTCCAATCCGATTCTAATACCCCACTGGAAAAAAAGGTCGAACAAAAGGTCAAAAGAGGAAAGGATGATGAAGTGGAAAAACCCACACACACCCTGTTTTGTTTGCTTTCTTAATAGATAAAACCGATCAAATCTCTCTCCAATTTAACAATTATTACTAAGGTTGCAATATAAACCCTGACTTTAGTCACTACTGACAATTAATTCTGTTTGTTTGACAGCTATTATCAATTTTATGAGGTAAAATGAGTAACAATACCAGATATAAAGAGGTAAATTTGTCGAAATGTTTGATTTCTGACAATTAACGTAAACAGCAGCTGGATGCAAATCGAACTTGGACCAGATTGCATCAGAACCCCCCCTGATAGTTCCCATGCGGAACCAATATAAAAAGGGATCGCACCTACACCTCAAGGTAATTGCCGAAAGGACGCATCTAGGTGGAAACTCTATTCGGACCTCTTGTTATCTACCCTATTGAAGGATCGCTTAGGACTTGATTGATTCAGTATAGAGGTATTTGCTTAAAGCAGGGGTAAACTCTCTCTCTCTCAGAATAGTTTATAGATTAGACTAATGTTAGACTACCGGAAACGCATTGGCAGGTCCAGTTGATGTTTACCGTTGTTGTTGGGTTGTTAAATGTCATGCTACTAAGGGATAATCCAGGAGTCTGTATCATACCTTATGCATCTATATTCTTTTTGTAAAAGTTTTGTGTTTATTAAATATGTTATACTTATAAAAATTAATATGCCTCAATGTCCTTAAATTTATTATAATCTTATTTCGTCCAAATTATTGTTTTATTTAATTTACCTGTAATTTACAGGTAAATTAAATAAAACAATAATTTTGTAATCTGTGAAACTGAGTTGCAGTATCCTTAAAACCAGTTTAATAAGTCCTGTTAATACATACTAATGAACGAAAATACATACTAGTGAACGAAATAAGATTATAATGTTATACTTATGTTTATATACGAGTCATCGTTGAGTACAATGACACCTTATCATGACCTCATTAACCCTCCCATTCATTTACAACATAAGTCATCTCCTGATGCGAAGCTGGTATGGTAAGAAGGACCCGAGCTCACTGCTTGACCCCCTCGGTTCTCACAATATTGTTCAGCTTTTTACAACCTGCCCTCCTCCCCTATTCCTATTTTAAGCCAGTCTTTATTCAATACCTACCATCAAAATTCATCTTCTGAAAGAGTATTTGAACTGATTCTTTATTTTAGTTGTAAAATATTTCGTATGTGATTAATTCTTTCAGAATGTTGAAGACAGAACTTTTTGCAGAACTAATATAGGTTATAGACAACAGCGTTTGCTATTTAGAGGTAAATATAATAGGTGTCCTATTTGAAGGGTTTGGGGATTGTAAAAATGTCCGTTAAGAAGAGGTGTCTGCTATTTGGGAGTGTTTGTTAATGGAGGTTTCACTGTATTTGGAAAAAACTTGAAATTTTGTTTTTCATTATGTAGTTAAGTTTTAAATAAAACAGAAAAAAATCATATAATATTGAAAAAAAGAGTAGTGTTTTGTTATAAGGTTCTAATAACCCTATTTAAATTCTTTTATTCAAAATAACTTATCCAAATAATGAAAATTTTCCAATTTATGTAATCTTTTTACAATGTAATGACATTTTTCTTTAAAATTAAATAAGTAATATATTTATTGGCTGACACATGACATTTAACAAACTACAAATGGATCACAATTATGCTTATGCTTTTAATCTCGACTAGAATTAATTCAATTATTTCATTTTCATATAATTTTGTATTGTTAATTGATATATTGATTTAGTTCATTTTTATTGGACTGCAATTTGAAAAAATTGTAGACCTATAAATTTCCATCGTTGTTCGACTGTCTGTCCATATGTCTTTCCTTAATCTTGAGAATGGAATCAGATAGATGAAATCCGAGGCCAGATATGGAAACCTTAGGGGTTGGAAACCAATTACTAACTATATACAAACTATACAAAACTATATACAAACTTCCAATACAAACCGAAAGTCTCGTGATTTCAATTCAAAACTATTCCCCTGAAAGCAGTTAATAAATGATTGGCATAACTCTATTGTTAATGGAAAAGAATGATGTACAGGGGCAAGACACTGCTAATAATTTGAGGTGAAAAGCATATATTTTAAATGAAATAAATTAAAATATGATTAATATTTATATAAAATAACAACCAACATACAATTAGTAGACTTGTATTTCAATAAAGAACAAGTCTACTAATAAAACAAATCTACATATAAAGAGATACTTTATTGAAGTACAAGTGTATTGTAATGGTTTATAAATAATGTGTATCTCTGTATTTGAACAATTTCGTATATGAACATATTTGGGAAAACCAATTGCTTGGTATTTGACCAAACAAACACAACCTGTTTGTATAAATATTTTTATTTTAAGTTTAATTTTGTTGTCCATAAAAAATTTTCTACAATAAAAATGAGTAACTAATTTAAAAATAAAATGAAACACCAGCATTTCCTACCAACATCAGATGAAATTATAATGGGTCCAGTTTGTTTTTTCACATAATATGTGCTGCCATTCCAAGTTGAAGTGTTTCAACAATACGTGTCTGTGATGCATTAAGATTTGTAAATTTGCGTGTAATTATTCATAAATTTTTAACAATTTCTTCCTGCAGATATTCTTTATCGGTAACTTTTGAACTTTTGAGTGCCCTTCCATTGTGTATCCTTTAGTTCAAAATTTCCACAACAGAACATATTTGACATGTTTGAACTTTAGGTGCATTTTTCTCATACATATTATGAATATTTTTTACAGTTTGTATGGCATTATATCCTTTCCAAAAGTCAAAAAGCATAATATCCTGGATATACATTTTATCTGCAAGCATTTTGACCTGATTTTACTGAAACAAAACACCAAGTAAAAAATTCAAAATATGCTTGTAAACAAAGAACACAATCTTACATCAGCAATAATGTGTTAAATTTCACAACTGTTACACAAAAACTTTATTCAATTCAATAAAATTAATAGGGTATTTTGTCACACTATTGCATGTTAGTATTTTTTGGTTGTTTTTTTTTTTTAATGATTTATGCATGCTAGGCATTTAAACTTCTTGTTAAATTCTGGTTAAAATGCTTCTATAAGTGGTTTTTAGGATCTGAAATGGATTAATCTAATGTACTGTACATTATTTCCTACGGGAAAAATTAGTTAATTACTTGAACAATTGGCACTCAAACAGAAATCTGAAATGAATTAAGTTTGAGTACCAAGGTACATTGTATTTTGTTTCTGATGTGTTGAAAAATGATTTGTAGTTATGATGATAGTATTATTAGAGATTTATTTTCTCAAAGCAAAAATTTGTAATTCAGCCAGATCGTCAAACATTAATGTGGAGTGCGACGTGGCCGACGGAAGTTCGGATGCTAGCTGAAGACTTTTTAACAGATTACATTCAGATAAACATAGGCTCGCTTCAGTTATCGGCCAATCATAATATTTTACAAGTAGTAGAAGTCTGTGATGAAAGAGAAAAACACGGCAAGTAAGTTACTAAAAACAAACAAGATTGCATTTTATTATTATCTATACCTTTGTAACAAATTGGTTTTCTTTAATATAGGTTAATACAACTCTTAAAAAAACTTACAAAAGAAAAAGAACATAAGGTAAGATTTAAATCATTAAAGAAATAATTTTTTAATTTCATTAATGAAATTTTGTTTAAATCTACTGCATTAAAGATTAATGAAATACTAATGACATTTTTAAATTAGTCTTTGTCATTGAAATGTTCTTAAATTTTTTAAATATGATTTTTTTTATTGGGTTGGTCAAAAAATTTGTTCAGTTTTTACATAAGATGCCACTAATAGCAATTAACAGCAGTTTGAAACTGACAAATACAATTGGGTATGATGTAACGTTCTGTAATATATATATTACAAATGAAAATTAATAATGTTTTTTGTTATTGTTTTATTCAAATTTTTAGATTTAAAAATGGGGGGAATTGAATTTTTATCATCTTGTGTTTTTCTACTTTCATAAAAAGAGAAATGCTACAAATGCACAAAATAAATCTGTACTGTTTACAGGAAACTGCTGTTGATGTCTGTATGTGTCAAAAGTGGTTTAAGAGGTCTGAGGGTCTTCCAGATCATGGTTATCTTCCTTAGAAGACCGTCATGGTTTGGAAGATCCTTGGCTGCTGTTGATGTCAATGCAGTCAAAAGCATATTCACATCCAAAAAAAGACTATGCTGAACATATTGTGGGAACTGGCAGGGAATTATCTATTATGAACTGCTACCTCAAAATCAGACCATTAATACGAAGAAGTACTTTTTCCAACTGGGTAATCTGAAGGCAGCCATCAAAGAAAAATGTCTGGCATTAGCAAGAAAAAAAAAGATATGGCTTTGCAGCACAAGACTAGACTTTTCACCATTGATCATTTGGGAAAAATGATTAGAATTTGGATGCAATGTTTCGTCTCCTGATCTTGTGCCATTAGATTACCACTTATTTCAATCTCTACAGAATACTTTGTAGTTGTGTCAGTGGTAATTCATCAAGTCATTATCCACCATTGTGTTTAAGATGTTTGGATATCGGTTACTATTCGGAGTGCAATCAGTAAATATGGGACCAAAAGCTGCTTGTTCCAAATTCCCCATCAGATGTTTAGGGTAAAATGCATTTAGCATTGCATGTATTGCATGCATTGTAGAGCATGCTTTGACCATCATCTTGTGACCATTGTGACAATTATACATTCCATTCTGGTTTGTTGTGTTGTAAATTTAACATTGTGTTGCATTACTCAAATTGCTGTGTAACATCTGCTGCATGTTGCACCCATTCCACAGTAACTGGCATATTTATTGACAATGTAAAATCTGGTGTATTTTTGTCTTGTGCGATCAAAAACCTGACCTAACCAATGCTGAAAAGCTCTCTTTTGCCCTGGATAGATGTTTAAGTGGATACCTTGTACTGGTATATTTTTTGATAGCTGAAACAATTTTGAAATGTTTCATTGCTTATTTATTATTATGAGAATAAGAATGAAATCATAAAAAGATTAATATTTCATAAATTTCAATTATTTCACTTTTAGACTTTATAAGTTTTCATCTTATTCATGTTTTAAAAACCAACAAATTTTATTTTATTTATGAAAGAGTTTATTTCTGAAATACAAAATTATGGTATAATTTTAAATAAAGTTTAATAATTCAATTAATGTATTTTAATTTCAGACATTAGTCTTTGTTCAAACTAAAAGAGGAGTAGATAAATTAACTAACAGCCTAAGAAGATTTGGGTAAGATATTTTTATATTTAATGTATGAAATTTATTTATTTTTAGAAAATGGGTAAAATTTTATTTATAGTACCCAAAAATTATCATAATTTTTTTAATTTATTAGTTAGTCCTAAAGCAAAAGATTGTGGAAGATAATTTGTATTGTATGCTATTTCCTACAATTTTCTGTTTTGAAAGTTTGAACTAACTTTCAGTATTTCCATAATTATATTATGTAATAATGCAAAAAACTAGGACTGTGCCAAAACAAAATTTTAACATCAATATTGAACTTCACACTAAGTCATTCAATATGTTGATAAAATACAGATTTTTATATACAGTCAACCCCCCTATAACACTGTTGATTTTTCCGTTTTATATGAATTCCATGTTGTACAAGTCACTTAGATTTTACAAATACGTGTGCCGTTCACAGCCCGGCACACGTATTTGTACAGTATTGAATATTATAATTGATAAATTCTGTTTTTTTTTTCAATATAATAATTTCTGTTGTATGTTAAAATCGATATATTAAACCAAAATTAATAGATTTTAGAATAGCAATATCAATATTGTAAATATTTATCAGTTTTGATTCAGCACTAATTGTAAGAACTTGTTGAAATTCTTACAATTACATACAATTACAAAACGTAAAGAAAATTGTACATTTACTTGCAATTTTGGTTACGCAGTGAATTTTGTACTGTAAAAGGAAAAGTTGCATGTTCAGAAAAAAAACCTAGTTTCGAGAAAATTTAATTGGCAAGCTTTGTTTCCAAATGACCCATAGTAAAATCTTTAAATATTGTATGACAATAACAACTTTTTATGTGAATTATATTCTACTTAGCATAAAAATGAATTAAATTTATTAAGCACAAATTTAAATTGTATTGATTTCCACAATATCTGTCATTACAGTAAAATATCAAGATTATTCATAAAAATACAATTTTGGTTCAATTTCTAATTGGCATTTCAGTTATGGTGATGGAACTGTGTGTTAATTAATTAAATAGTCCCAATTTATTTTTTCTTCTTGGTATTCCCTTTACACACTGACACTTCTCTCACCATTTTGGCAACAATGTTATTCTTCCAGAATAGAAGTATTTTGACTTGTGTTAGAGCCATTGCACAATGAATTTTCTGAATTTTGAAAGTTCGTGTAGTGGTTCTCTCGAGACTTCCACTAAAGAGCCAAATGGGTGGTAATTGAATGGTGATGGATCCAGATTGTAGGTTGCACAATTCAGAATTTCCTAAATAAGTTGTTAATTGCCTCCACTATGTATATGGTCATGCTCTGATACCAGTTAAAATACTTCTATTCATGCAGGCATTGTTGCCAAAATGATGGGAGAAGTGTCATGTCATTGTGTGGAAGTGGAGTGCCTAGAAGGAAAAAAAAACAAAAAACTGGATTATGTAACATGCTCAGTTCCATTGCCATTACTGAAATTCTGGATAGATATTTAACAACTTACATATGTTTTAAAATGTGTACTTAAAATGCTGATAAAATTTTTGTCATTTTAATGAAAGTAAGTTTGGACTTCAAACTCACATTTGAGTTATAAATAAACACTTGGCTTTATTTCCATCAATTTTAGTTGCTATGTGACAACATAGAAAGTAAGTTTATGCAAGTGCTCATATTTTATGTTTTTGTACGAGAGGAGTCCAATATTAAAGGTACAGGTCAAAATTAACCTAACATTTATAATTAAAAAAAAATATTTAATACATTCCACAAAACTGCATACTTTTGCTTATTTCTTGACATAATTGCTGTAAACGGTGGGACATTTATCCCAGCGTGACACTAGTTTGAACATTCCTTCACAGTACTGTTGCTTGAAGTAGTCCAGAACGGTATCTTCCAATTTCTCCTGATCTGCAAAGCGTTTCCCTGCCAAAAATTTCTTTAAAGGAGCGAATAAATGAAAATCCGAGGGGGCTAAATCTGGACTATACTCCCCAGATCAAATGAAACCAAACTGGTTGGCACAGCAGAATTGGGCGGTCCTGCAACATACTCTGTATAGTCCAAATCATGGTTCTGGTCTACTTCAAGCGATTTGACAAGCAACAGTACCGTGAAGGGATGTTCAAACTAGTGGTACACTGGGATAAATGTTGAGGAATAAGCAAAAATATACAGTTTTTGTGGAATGTATTAAAATATTTTCTTTAATTATAAATATTAGTGTAATTTTGGCCTAGTGTAATAAATGATATTTTTCATATGTTATAACTTATTACTGTAACGTGTCAGGTTATTGTATTACAGTAGAACTCCATTTAGCATCTGTCCACATAACCGAAAACTCAAAACAGATAGTGTAAAATGGCTATGGCCATCTAAAATTTACAAATATAAAAGACATAGTGAATTTAATCATATACAAGTGTCTAAATTATTGTAGCATTTTTAAGAATAAAATGTGTAAATACATTTTAATATGAATGGTTTTTCTGTTACCTTTCATATAATACAGTATAGGTTTAAACTTTTCTCATATTATGTAATTCATTAGAATTAGTAGTATATTCACTTACAGGTTTTCCTTGATTAATTGGAGTTCTACCTGTATATTTTATTTCATGTAATTTCTTGCTTTCTTTTTAAGGCTTTTCGCCGTTTCTACTCATGGCGATAAAACACAGAGACAGAGAGATTTTGCATTACAAGGTTTGTGAATGTCTTGAATTAAAATTTCTGTAACCATAATTTTTAATAATTTAGATTGTATATATTTTAAAACTTTTATTAGAAAATGTTCAGTTTTTGAAAGCATTTTGCTTAGCAAATAATTAGTTTAAAATTATGTATATTTATTGAAAACAAAACTCTTCATCAACGTTTCAATGATCTTCTTAGTTCAGATTAACAGATATTAAAAACATAATGTTTTCTTAAAACTAAATTAATGGAATTTTAAACTGACACTTTTTTTGATAGATAATTGGTATTTATAACAAAATACAGTAACTGGAATTTAAGAGTTTTTTTACTTTATTTACACCTTTGTATTAAATATGGGTATCCCTTGATTTTAATGTAGTCAATTAACCCCTCAATGCTATTGCATTAATGATATACAGTAATACTTTGGCATTCAACCGAATAATCACGACCTGATAGAATGAATTTTTGGTTGATAAATATTTTTATTTTGTCATATGTAAGGAAAGTTTTCTGTGATAAAAATATGTAACTAATTTAATCTTGGAGCTACCTATTTTGTCCAGTTTTCCCCCCTTCATGTAATGCATGTGGAACACAATCATCATGTCGGTGACACACTAAGATTTGTTGCAAGTTCATGAGTTATTTGTCAATTTTTAACAATTTCTTCCTGAAATTTCTTTTTTGTCAACAGCTTTTGGATGCCCTGTACATTTTCTATTCTTTAGTTCAAAATTTCCCAAACAAAACTTACAAAACCACATTTGATGTGTAGTTGTTTAGGAACATCTTTCTCTATACATTAAGAGTATTTTTATCATTTGTTCAGCATTATATCATTTATGAAACTTAAAATAAATAATCGAGCATATTAAAATAAGCTTCTAAACAAATACAATATCAAAATTATCATAATCAAACTACATATCTATATTGGAAACCATCCTTGGCATGAAAATAGCAAATTCACTGGCACCTTAATTGCAGAGAAAAATATATCGATGTTAAGAAAACATCTATTAAAGTCACGTTAATTAAAACTTCTGCTGCTTGTATAAAGGAATTGTCGCAATTAATTTTTTGTGTTAGTCAAGCGAGGGATACCTGTATAATAGCATATTGTAATGAAAAGATTTCAAAAATACTGTGCTACAATAATTATATTGCAAATTATTGTCACACATTACTAGTTAATAAAATAAATATTTTCTTTATTGTTCCATTTTTTGCAAAAATTATAAAACAAACAATGCAACTTTCTTACTGTCGCAGTTGCTTGGCTGTGATTTTGAACAAATCATCTTTAGTAACTTGTCAAATCCTAAAACTTTCCCAATAAGCAATTTAACGCATTGTAATTATTCTCTCAAAACTCTTGTTAATGTAATATTTTATCTTGCCTATTTAATTTTTTGCTATTGCTGTGTAAAATATTAATCCTTTATTATAAATTCTAGATTTTAGAACAGGAAGAGCAACTATTCTCATAGCTACGGACGTTGCTGCAAGAGGATTAGGTAAGCATTAAAAGTAATTTGTGTTACTTTTAGAATGACAACTTAATCTAAGAGTTGCTAATTTTACAGATGTGAACGACATCAAATACGTCATAAATTATGATTATCCAAATTGTTCCGAAGATTACGTTCATAGAATTGGCCGTACAGGTCGCCACGACAGGCAAGGCACAGCTTATACCTTTTTCACTTACGAGAATGCAAATCAAGCAAGAGATCTGATAGCGGTGTTACGTGAAGCAAACCAGGAAATCAATCCAGATTTATTAGACATGTCAAAGATGTACAAAAATTCAAAAATTTCCAAAGGTACGATTCTTGTTTTTGTAAAACACGGAATAAGAGTTTAATATTTATTTGTAATTTTATTTACAGGAAAATTAACAGGAAGGTATCAAAGATGGCAGCCTCGCAGCACTTTATTTAATGATTTGGAAGCTGTGTAACATTTAAAAAATTTAATGAAAATAGTTGTTAATATGATTATTAAATATTTATTTACATCTTTCTCTTTTTCCCCCTTTGAAATACTATAATATCACAATTTAAGCTTGTGCAATTAATTGAAAATAGACTATGAAAGATTAAAAATATCCAGAATCATAAAAATCTAAAATTTATAAGTTTGACTTATATTTAGGTCATGCCGAGGTAAAGTGCCATATCTAGTACCATCATTTAGAATTTAATTTAAAACGAGCAATTATTTTGACATTAAAAATATGATTGCCACAACGCCAGGCTGCAATTTTTAATGTATTTAATTTAAAATATGTACTCTCCACCTCAAATTAGTAGTGGCTTGCCCCTGTACATCATACTTTTCCTGTTACAATAGAGTTGTGTCAGTCATCTATCTAACACCTTTCAGAAGACAATTTTTGAATTGAAATAACATGACTTCTAGTATAATCCAGAATAAACAAAATCTTAAAACTGTTATAACAATATGAAAACTTGAATTTGAAAACTTGTATTTTCAAAGATGGAATACTTTTGTTTAGCTTCTGACTAGATCACATAATTGAACAAGTTTGAGATAAACGGTGTAAAAGGAAATTTGCAAACTGAAATATCTTAGTTTTTGACTTGGAAACCTAACTAGTTTATAAGTAGTGGAGCATCTGTATATTCATTAGGCTGAAAAAAACTAAGTACCTGCGTACACGGAATAACCATTTATTGTTAGTGTTTGATCCTTCGATGAACTTATTGTAATACAGTAGGTATTTTAACATTTACCCAGTAACTACTGCTTAGTAGTAGGTAAATTGAGCATTTTTTTTTTTTTTACCTAATGCACTTAGTTTTATAATGTCCAGTTTAGTTTCCATGGTAATTGAGCATACTTCTTGCATTTATCTCCGTGCTAGATCAATTATTACATTTTTGAAGCACTAATTATAAAAGGTTATAAACATTTGAAAACGACAGAGTAATGGCATTTTTTGCTATGTTACCAACTTCCATTGAACTTCAGAATTTGCACAAAAACAAAAACTAACAATATGCAACAGAAATAAATGTACAGAAATTATTTATTACTGGTTTTGGCCAGTAATAAATAATTTCTGTTCAAAAACTGACTTTGATGCCACCCCATGAGCAGAAAGAGAACTTCAAAATCTATGCAAAATTTAAATTTTAGACATACGGTCAAATATTTGAGTACAGGAGCTCCCCTACTTAAAATCTCACAAAATATTTCCATAATCATTAAATGGTACATAAATATTTTTTTTTGTGTGTAACGCCATTTTTTTGGAGTTAATTTTTTGATCGCATGGTATGTTACAAAGTAGAATTTTGTAATTGTTCTGTTTTGTTTGAAAATCAGTTTCCCTTAAAACAAGAATTTTTCTTATAAAGAAAAAAAATGTAAGAAATAAACCTTTATATGAGAAAAATATTTGTACAGGCTCACAAATATTGGGCAGGCAACACTTAGTGCTCGGTTGGAGCAGTGGAAGTTTTAAAAAAGTTCGAGAACCCTATTTGGTAAAATACTGACCTCGTCAGTTTGTTTCCATCAGTAAGTAAATAGACTAGATTCTACTACTGTGAATTTTTACATGGCCAAGATTTGTGAAATGAGTTGTACAGTTTTTAAACAGAGAAATTATTATTTGAGAAAATAACACGTTCTAAAATAATTTATATTATTTACTATATTTACTTCCTTATTTCTGTTATTTATTAATGATTTCTTAGAAATGTATGTCTAAATATAACACTTACCTTCTTGCATCATGTGTACGTTCAGATTTCGATGGAATGAACTAATTTTAAACTGTAACTGATTAAAAAGAGTGAAAGTATCCTCTATGTAAGACATTTAAATTTTCTTTTTTACCAAAGGTCTTTCATCACAATTAATAAAATCTGAATATTGCAAAGTATTTAAATACAGTAAAATAAAAGATTTTGGGAATGGTTTTCACAAGAGATGGAAAATTTCAATTGCACAGTAATTTGTATTGTGCCATACTAGGATTACCATATGTCCTCATTTTGGGGATAAGAATTACTGGTAGTATATTTCTGGGCTGTAATTTGAAAAAAAATTGTAGATCTATAAATTCTTAATGTCATCCATCCATCTTTCCTTAATCCTGAGAACAGAGTTAGATGAATGAAAAATGAGACATGGAAATCTTAGGAGCAGGAGACCTTGTTTAACTATACAGTGGTGACTCGTACAACGTACTTAATCCGTTCCAGGTGCACGTCCGTTAAGTGAAACGTCCATTATACGAAACGCATTTTCCCATAAAAATACATGTTAAAACATATAATTTGTTCCGCAGCATAAAATAACCGTACTGTACCATAAAAAATGAAAATGGAGCAGACACCAATTATGCCGGGTAGTCAGATGTTGTGAGGAGGAGGTGGAAGAACACTTTCTTTACACATTCATACAGATACAGACTTTTTACACATTGCAGCGGGTCTTTTTTTATTGTTTTTTAATCGGAGTCAGATTCAGGAGAGGCTACCGGAACTTGCAGGGTCAACTTCTCTTGTTCCATCCTTTGTTTTTTGCCCGCTGGCTTCTTGAAAAACATGACCAAGGTGGTCTGTTTCTCTTTCTTCTTTAACACCTGTCGGAAATGACGGACAAAGGTGTCATCGTAGAGATCATTGATCCTGTTGGCCTCAGCTCTGTTTGGATAATGAGTGTTGGTAAACTCCTGAACCTCTCCCCATTCGACAAGAAAGTTTTTGTCAACTTTCACTCCTGATGATTTCTTGCTTTGTTTCAATTGAAATCACCTTTCTGTTTTTTTAGAAGCCATGATGCATTATAAATGACTTAACTTGCCAGATTATATGATACGAATAATTCTTTATTAATTAAGATCACTAAACACTTCTACGAGCTACTCTCGCTCCGTTTGTTTTTTACAACCTCTTTTCGTCCCGCCACCTCGGCATCTACACAATTACATTACATTTAATGTTTATTTAAATCATCAACATATAGTACATTACATTTCTACTTCAGATATACTAATAATACATTCTAATTATACTAATATATCCTAAAAATAGCAGATTGTCATTGGCAACGGCAAAAGAGTGGAAACATCATTCGCACTTGTTCGAAGAAAGTCCATTGTTCGTCTCATGTAACTGCCGAACGGAAAGTCCGTTGCTTGAGTCACGTAACGGTCAAACAGAAAGTCCGTTATTTGAGGCGTACGTTATACGAGGCACCACTGTATATAAACTTCCAATGCAAACCGGAAGTCATGTTATTTCAATTCAAAAATTTTCCCCAAAAGGTGTTAGTTAGATGACTGGCACAACACTATTGTTAAGGCAAAAGATGGTGACAGGGGCGGGACACTAAGAATAATTTGAGGAGGAGAGCATATATTTTAAATTAAAAATATGATTAAAAATTGCAGCCTGGCATTGTGGTGTCATAATAAGTAATTAAATTTTCTGTTTTGTTTACATTTCCAATGATTGAATGTTTTTCTTCATTCTAGTTGTACCCAATGTAAAAAATGGGAGGTTTTCTCTATTGGTTACAACACAGGGTTAAATTCAGAAGTTAGCTATCTAATTACATAGGCAATTTAGTTGTGTTTCACTTGTGATATTACAGTTTTCACATTGAGATTGATACCATAAATGCAAAGCAAAAACAATCTTCATTAGCACTTTTCTTTCTGGTCACATGGTTGGTGTGTATCTTTGGTCACATGTTTACTATTTATAAGCTACAGTTTATCCGTATAGATCAGGAAGTTACCAACAATTTTCACATATTGACCTTTTTTAAGGAAAATTCTTCCATTGATTCTCTTGAAAATATTTTCAAGAATTATTGTACAGTACATGCATATGTAATATTTTATCTAATTTGCTCATCTTCAATGAATCAAGGTAGATTAATTGAAGCAATCAACATTAACTTGATGCACAGTAAAAAAAAATTAAATCTAGTTATATAGTCTACATGGGCTCATCAGTGATTAACAAAAACTAAATGAATAAAATGTTGGGTATTTAACTAATTTTTTTTACAAATAAAACTAACAGTTAAATAATGATTACATTTTACAATACAGTAAAGATACCTTTATACAAGTAAACTATTTTTTATGCTTTTATTAATTGCATTAACTATGTTAAATATAATGATTTGTGCTTTTACTTTGGAAATCTCTCTAAAATCAAAACATAATGCCAAATAGAAAACACAAAAAGCATTGTATAAATTTGCATTTAAAATAATAGAAAACAGAAATATAGTATGCCCCATAAACATGGAAGCATAGGAATTATATTGATGTTTGCTTATTCTTTCACAGGTAAAGTATCGTGCTGAGGGAGAAAAAACGAATTCAAATTACTTTGAGTGTGAATTCACCAGAGTTTACAAAATGGTCTAAATGCATCCTGTAATATGATACTGTGGAACTTCGCTTAATGGGAATAATTCGTTCCAGAATGTTACTCGTAAAACGAAACAATTTTTACCAAATAAATTAATGTAAAATATGATAATGCATTCCATGCTGAAAAAATTCCCCAAATGACTTCGTGCCACATGACAACCTTGACAGCATTCTTCTTGTGACACAAGCAATATTGCCTCTTTCTTGAATATTTTAAAAATTCATTGGCATTATAAATTGTTTTTGCAAACATGTGCACAAAGTTTTCAAATTTCTACACAATGAATAATTTAAATTATTTTTGTAAGTTTTAAAATTGGTGTGGATTAATCAGTAATTTTTATTGTGCAGGAAGAATTTATATTAAAAATGAAATGTGTTAAAATTCATTATTCGCAGAGTTATAAATCATTCAGTAATGTAGATTAAAATAGCTATACCAATTTTTTTTTTTTTTTTTTTTTTATTATTTAAGATCATTCATTATTTTCTACATTTCAAAAATAAATTTGACATGGCTTAAAATAAAATCCTTATTTTTACATACTACTAAATCAAAGGCAGTATGGTAGCACTACACCTTAATATGCTTGATCTTCAAATCCATTTTACTTAGGCAGCAGTAGTCCAACTTTGTTGATCAGTAGTAATCTCCTTCCTAAGGTCTACACGACTTCGGTAATAAAAATTTGCTTTGGTTAATTGCAGCTCCTTAATTTGCATATAACAGACATTTGAAATAAACAGTAAAATTTCACCAGTGAGTACAGCCCAAATCACTGGTTTGTGCTGATGGGACTGGTTTCAAAAGACACACAAGAAATTGAATAAAATGAATATCACTTCAATTCTCAAGGTATTTGTATATTTATTAAACCAATCAAATTATAATGCAAATTTTGTCATAAACTTTAGGGTAATTTGCTTCGAAATCTTATGCAATGTAGTTGAAAACTTGATCAACACACAAGTTTAGTATGCTCTAATTGATTTTGGTGGTTTTAATGTCTGTTGAGCTAGACTCCAGAATGTCACATAATATGATATATTCTTTTCAATATATATTGGAGCATGTGGCTTTTCAACCAATGATTGGCTTATAACCGGGCATAAGTCACTAACCACCTTGAAAAGTTCTTTGCAGTGAGTATTTACTGAAGTTCTCCAGCTTAATGGTTACAAAGTTAAAAGCATTCATTTGGTGAAAAAATACCAAAAATTTTTTTGAAACATTTACCTTAGATCTTGCAGTTGTCTAGAATCTAAGGAGAACACTATTGGTATACATTTTATCAAATGGCTAGGACAGTAAATATAAATTCACAAAATAAAAGACTATGATAAAAGAGTCGTCTTTCGTCCTCTCATGCCTCAGGAAATAACGGTCTTAGGGCAGAGTCAATCTTTATTTAGAGGCTTCATGTCTGTCTTAAATACAAAACATTACAATCTTTCCTCTGATGATGGCACAATTAAAAAATATGTATATTTTATAAAATAACAAATAGAAGACTCCTTTATTGTATAGTCTTTTAATTTGTGAATTTATTGGTGCAAGTTTTTCTACCAGTTTCATTTCATCAGAAACTTTGTAGGAATGATGCTGGTGACAAGTTTTTTATATTGATCTTGGTTCCTTAACTGCAAGCTTTAATGTGAAAACAGTGCATATCACAGCTCACTGTTAGCCCTTAAGCTGTAATGTAGATTACTTAAGAGAGCACAAAATTCTGTGCTAGAATCATTAACTTTGCTGAATTTTTTTTCTTTTACTTTGATTAGATAATGTTCTATAAGTATGTGGTTTGTAAATTTAAATTTTCATTTCATGCAAAAGAAAAAAAGAGTGACTAGTTTATCGAAAAGTATTCTTAAGCAATAAAGGAGACTGTTTTTATGGAAAAAGTACCAAAGGTGTAGAGTTTAGGACTACTAGTATGGAATAGAAGATGTTAAAAAAAAAATGTGCTCAGTTGCTTATCTTCTTTAAAGTTCAGGCCTAGACTAGTTAGGAATCTTGGAATTTGCATCTGAATGGACATTTCTATGGAATCAACACTAAAGACCCAATACACCTACTCCATGTTTTGATTTGAAATAATGTAACTATATAGTTAATTGGGGCTTCCTGTCCCTAAATTTTCCATACTTGGTCTTGCCTTTTATCTAACTTCATTCTCGAGATTAAGGAAGGATGGACAGCAATTTGAAAAAATTGTAGATATAGATCTACAATTTTTTTTCAAATTGTAGCCCAACAAGTTTTCATTTTGTTGACATTTTCATAGTGTAGGAATCCTGACCCATTGGGATTCTGATTGGGATTTTGAGCCAGTTGCCCATTCAGATGCATGTTCTTACATAGCTAAAGTTCCTGACTATGAGCAAGACCTGAAGCTTTGAAGAAGGTAAGCTGCTATTCACACCTTTTTAATCAATCAACTCCTATTCACTTTTTTGACTAAAAATTGCTAGTTATAAACTTTCATATTGTTAGGTACTTTTTCCATAAAATATATATATATATATATATTTTTTTTTGAGAGCATTTTTTAATAAGCTAGTATATTATTATTATTATTATTTTAACAATTAGTTTAATGATTTACTAAAAGAACATTAAACAGTATATAAATTTGCAAGAAAAATAGAATCTCTTTATACAGTGTTTACAATTGACTGGGTTAAAACATTTAACAAAAAAATTAACCATAGCAGATATTGCAAGACTATTTTTGCATCAAATAAATCTAGTAGTGAATCTAGAAGTACCCAAAGGGGAAACTAACTCAAAAATTAAAAATATATGAATAATTAATAAGTACTTTTTATTAGTGTGTGCATGATTATATTATATCCAACCATATTTGTTGTCATAAATGTTTTTGAAAATACCATTTTGAAGTTAGAACAAATAAAATTAACTATTTTGTGTCAATGGAGAGGACAAACTTTTAGCCCTCCCTTTGAATCCACCACTGAATACGGCAACTCAAAAAGTTTTAAAGTTATTGATAATATGCACTATCTTGTAATGAAGTTTTCAGACCATTTTTCTTTCAAGGAAATCAATGAAAGCTGGATATGCTAGAATTATTTTGATATTTTTCAATTGCAGATACTTGCAGCAAGATATAATCTCCTAGTAAGGTGGTGTTTTATGTGCACAAATTCTTAGGGTTATGATAGCCTTATTTCCATGGTTTATTTGCTTCCCAAATCTCCCATCTCAAATGTAAAGGATAGGATATATGCAGAGAAGTTTACTGACATTGTAGAACTGAATCATCAGATAGTGGAAAACCTCAGTCTTCCAAAAAATATTTTGAAACATTTGACAAGAAATCAAATATAAATTGGATATAGTAAGTGTTACAAAAGGCATGTCAATGTTTTCATAATAAAACCACGGGTATCCAAGAAATTACTAAAGTTTTTCAGTTACAGTATTTTCTGCAAAAATAATTTCTCCATATCTATTATGGTTTATGTTTTATTAAATGTTAATCTAGCCAATAAATTATAGATATTCTGTATTTTAGATTTTATAGTAGTACTTTTTTAAGGATTAATCAATGATTTGCTAAAGACTTCCTAGTTATGTTAATAATAGTAAATTCTGATTAAGAAACCTGTTTATCATCTCTTAAGCAAATCTAACTACTATATAATGTGTTATCTAATCATAATTTACTATTCTAATAAAACACAATATTTTTGTATAATAAATGCAGAAAATTTCACAAGTGCTTTAATGCAACCGTGCTCTATAAAACTTATAGAAATTATAAAATACAACAAAAATTTTAGGAAATCAATAATTTAAACATATGTTAAATTAGTACATCATATAGATTAAATGCTTCTGAATATTTGATTACAACAGACATTGCATAATATAACATTCATAGTAAAATATTAGTTTCAGATGTACATTCAGTCTTTATGTTTCTGCTGATGAAAGTAATATAACAATTTTGCTTCATATGCATATATATTTGTAAATTAGACAACTTCTGGTTAACTCTGTTAAATTTATTAATAATCTGCATTAAATTGGTCTTAAGCAAGCTTGTTTCTGTTGTAATATCAATATTAAACTCATTTTTTTTAAATAAAAAAACAAGTTTAACATTTTTTTTTTTTATAATTGAAGAGCAAGGAATCAAACAGATGTACCTTCTAACAAACTTACCTTTAAATTTATATATCAAACTTCAATAAATTTTTTTTCCAATAAAATGCATTTACATTACTTTGACACTTTTAACAATATCTATATGACAACATATAACTAGCATCAATAGAACAATTTTTCATGCGAGCTTCAATGCCGCTCGAGTGAAATCTTTTATATATATATTCTTAGAAATAATATTCGCAAAGTGGATATTAACAACCTATGTTACAGTGATAACTTGCAGTTAAAAACTGCTACATTACCTTTTTACCCTGCCTAGAATCAGCATAAAGAAAATATAATTATTGGCTTGTCATAGATTATTTAGGGTATTATAATTTTGTATTGTAATTCTTAGTTCACAAAGCAAAAAGCGCATTGTCCGTGTCTTCACGATCCATCTTTCTGCGATTGGCCGCATTATTGGGTGCATTTCTATTGCCGGCACTGGATGCCGAGGAACTACTGGTGGGCGATTTACTCAAAGTAGAAGTCTGTTCTGCTGGAAAGACATTAGGTAATTTTTCTGCTGCTGCAGTCCTCTCAGCCAAGAATTTATCAAATTCTGTCCAGAAAATTTACAAATTAGAAAAAAAATAAAATTAAGAGAGAACTATTTAACGTGTGTTTTTTTGTTTTCATACCTGAACTCGTAATTGATTCTTGGGTCTCTTCAGCAGGTGGCTGAAATATTACAAAAGAAATTTAATAACAAATAAATTTTATTTGGCATAAATTTAGCATTAAGTATGATTCATTTAATAACAATGGTTAAAAAAAAAAATAATTTTTTCAATAACTTAACTTCTTCGACAACTGAAAAATGGTTTTAAAAAATATAAATTAATTCTAGTAAAATGAGAGCGGTAACTAAAAATTAGATTTCTTGAGAATTCCAATTTTTTCATGAAAATTTTTCTTCAAAAGGTTCAGGTGTGATGTTTTCTTATAAAAAAATTCTTTCAGTATTGATACAAAAAGAACACTAGATTTTCATGTTTCCCCAATTAACTAATGTTTATATTAGAGATTTCATATGGTCATCATAGTGATTATTTACTTATACCTTGGATCTATTTCCAAGCACAGTATTATCACAAATTTTTTTAAACTTTGTAATATTTATTTTTTCAATTTAAAATTAACTTCTTACACTTATGTTTTCAAAGAATACACTATTAATAATTAGTACAATGTGCAGGTAAGATCTTTATTTACTGTATCTTCAAGACTTCAAGAAAAATTATTATTTAGAGAAATATTAAAAAAAAAAAATTTTTTTTTGGATTCTTACAAATTTGCATTCTAAATTTAGAATGATTTTTATTTTTATGGAAAATCATTTATTATTTTTAAGAATAAAAAAAATTTACTAACAATTAAAATTTCATACATAATCAAGTAATAATACTATAAAATAAGTGTTTTTAAGTGAAATTGATGTTTAAAATTTATATTGAAATGTGTTCCAAATAAAAATTTTAATATCATAAAGAAATTATGACTTAAAAAATTTTTTGATTGTTGAACACAAGTTTGTTTTATTAATTAAACACTTGGCTTTTTTCCATCTTTATTCAGTTGATCTGTATCTCACCTTGTATCCTAAATGACTTAAAAAATTTGCTAAATTTCAAATTTTATATAATACAATGTATTAAAAAAACTAGCTAAGCTATGGTAATTTGTTATTTAATTCCAAAATGATTAATATAAAATAAGAATTTTACATATCAATAAGGAAAAAAAATCTGCAGTGATTTTATGGAATTTATATCTGACAAATGACCATGCAAGATGCTAGAGATTATATTAAACTGCAATTTTATATCATCATTAAATATTTCTTGAAATAGTGTAATGCTACTTAAATTTTTTAAAAGCGAATGACTCAACAGTAGGTCAAATCATTCCCAATTAAACATAAAAAGTGATTTTGGTTTAATTTATTCTTGAATTCAAACCAAACATGTTAATAAGAAAATCCAAGTACTGTATATGCCAGTGTATAAGTTGACCTGGGGAAAAAAAACTCCAAAATTAGAGCTGTTATATAACAGGAGATAAAATGCTAACTTTTACCACAGAGCAAAACCAAGTGGGACAAAATCCTAATACAGGTGGCCCTTGACTTTTGCACATTTTTAAAAATTTAACTTTTTAAATATTTTTGTCGATAATGAAAATATTTCCTTCCATGCAGAACACTCATACACTACAGTGTGGTAGCTTGCTCTACGTTCTCGGACACACTACTTCCTACAATAGCGGACTTCTTGGAATCCTAATCACTACTGTGTTGTTCCAAGCAAGAGTTCGAAACAGTTGTGTTTTGCCAATTTATTTGTTTAAATATTTTGTCCTTATAAATTGATAATCATGAGTGAGAAACGGAGAAACTACAGTGTTGATAAGAACAGAAAGAAATTAAGGACTCATAAACTTCATACGATCGAGACAAAGATGGAAATAATTAAACATTCTGAAAACGGTGAATCTTTTGCTTCAACCGAGCATTCGTACGATATGTACAATTTTGAAAAATAAAGAGTGAAATTAAGGAATAAATATTTTGAACACAGTTTTTGGTGCTTATTTTTTTACATCTCTCTACTTTCGAACATTCAACATTCGCGCACACTTTCAGGAACCAATTATGTGCGAAAGTCGAGGGCCGCCTGTAATCAGCTTGCATCACTTACTGCAACTCTATCGGGCTGTCACAAATATTTTCAACTAACACTCATATTTCATAAAAATATTTAATATAACTAAATAAAAGTTCAATTTAATTAAATAATTCTAGAATAATTTGGAAGAAAGGAAACCAGCTCCAGACTAATTTTTTTCTTCCAGATTATTCTAGAATTATTTATTTAAATTATAATTATTAAATTTAATACGAGATGGTACATAATGCCTCCCTCTAGGAACAAATTAATCAGTAATTAAAATTATAATCACCGGAAAATAGCCTGATGTTATTCGGCAGTTGGTTGTGGCTTTATACTAATGAATTTGGTTTTGAAAACTGTTTATGTTGTATAAAAATTCAGTTTAAATGAATACTGTTTCCAACAGTTATGTGCCAATGTTACATCACTGAATCAAATGATGGACATAAGTGTTCTACTAATAAGTTATTACTGTATACAGTGGTACTTTTGTACTATGCTGTGTAAACTATTAATATTTTATTGAATGTGTTGATGTTGGTTTCAATGTGTTTAATAGTAGCCTAGATTAGAATAGAATTCTTACTAAGAAAACTTGCTGAAGATTTTTAGTGATTGCTTAGGCTACTTTAGATACTGCTGCCTATATCTTTTTTTATGAGATTATATATATATATCAAATATTAAAAAGTATTACAGTTTGTTGTGTTTATTAAAATACAATGGTCTTTACAGTAGCTTATGGTGAAAATACAAATATATATCTACATTTCAGTTCTAGGAGGCCAGTAATTTTAAGTTTGGGAATTGACGCATACAGTGTTAAAGTTTAAACCAGAATTTGAGACAAGGTCAACTTATACACCAACAGAATATATTGTTATTTATTAATTAAATTTTAAAATATAATAAAATTGTCATACTTTATCTTGAAGCCAACGTTCCATTTCTGCAAAATCTTGCTCCTTCTGCAGCTAATGAAAAAATTATAAAGATGTTAATTGATAAAATAGAAAATAGTAAAATTAATTAAATATATATCCATTTTTAAATTATAATTTGCAAAGTTCGGATTTCAGTTTTAATAATATTATTATTGATATTTGATTATATTAAATAATTCCTCTATAAGCTCAATAGTAGCTTTACTGCTCTAATAATGAACCAAAAAAAGCTAATAAAGAATCTCAGTTTCATCATTGGTTTCAATATGTGATAAGATACCCCATAGAATCTGGTTACATGCCAAAAAAGGTTATCTTTAACATTAAAAAAATTTATATGTAAATAAAACTAAATTCAAATTATTTAGTAATAAAAAGAAAATTTTTTTTCTGTAGAAAATCTTAAATTTTGCAGTAATTCACTTTGAGAAAACGTATGATATGTGAATGTGTGAAGTTAAGGGTAGATACAAAGATAAATTCTTAGAGGAAATTAACTCAGTGACTTTTATGCTTTTCCTGTAATGAAAATATCACAGTTATTTCAAAATTGTGTAACTATTTAAACCTGGTAATTTTATGCCAAGAAAGAAATAAAACTTAATTTACAAATAAAAACCTAAAGTTTCAAAAATTAACAAGAAAAGTTGAGTGTTTTCATCTAACAGTGCTGAAATTCACTGTTAATTACTAATCTTTGTTTGTAATTTTAATTTTGTATTTTTCCCTATAACAAAGTATGAGTCCTTTATTATTATTATTAGTAGTAGTAGTAGCAGCAGCTTTTACTGCTATATTATAATTAATTTTGTAAATTACACATCACAGTAGGTAAAAAGTATCCCTAAAATAGTAGAAGAAGAAGCAAATTCTTGATACTGTATATAATTTAAATACAGTAGAGCGTCGTTTATCCGAAACGTCAGTTATCCGAAAGAATTCCAGTCAGCAAATTTAAATTTTCGCTAGTGCTGTGGTGCTACAATCTTTGGCTATATCTTGGACTACTCCAATATTTTTTTTATTGATGTGTTTGTGATGTGGCACTTTTGTGCGGTATTTTTCTGAGGACTGTGTGTCATGCTGAATCGAACGTTTTTGATACTAGATCAACTTCTAAAGTATATATATTTTTTGTTTTTATATTTTTCAATATATTTATTTTGTTTGTACAAAATAAAGAAATAATTTTTAATGATACAATAGCCACGANGGATACTATGCTGTGTAAACTATTAATATTTTATTGAATGTGTTGATGTTGGTTTCAATGTGTTTAATAGTAGCCTAGATTAGAATAGAATTCTTACTAAGAAAACTTGCTGAAGATTTTTAGTGATTGCTTAGGCTACTTTAGATACTGCTGCCTATATCTTTTTTTATGAGATTATATATATATATCAAATATTAAAAAGTATTACAGTTTGTTGTGTTTATTAAAATACAATGGTCTTTACAGTAGCTTATGGTGAAAATACAAATATATATCTACATTTCAGTTCTAGGAGGCCAGTAATTTTAAGTTTGGGAATTGACGCATACAGTGTTAAAGTTTAAACCAGAATTTGAGACAAGGTCAACTTATACACCAACAGAATATATTGTTATTTATTAATTAAATTTTAAAATATAATAAAATTGTCATACTTTATCTTGAAGCCAACGTTCCATTTCTGCAAAATCTTGCTCCTTCTGCAGCTAATGAAAAAATTATAAAGATGTTAATTGATAAAATAGAAAATAGTAAAATTAATTAAATATATATCCATTTTTAAATTATAATTTGCAAAGTTCGGATTTCAGTTTTAATAATATTATTATTGATATTTGATTATATTAAATAATTCCTCTATAAGCTCAATAGTAGCTTTACTGCTCTAATAATGAACCAAAAAAAGCTAATAAAGAATCTCAGTTTCATCATTGGTTTCAATATGTGATAAGATACCCCATAGAATCTGGTTACATGCCAAAAAAGGTTATCTTTAACATTAAAAAAATTTATATGTAAATAAAACTAAATTCAAATTATTTAGTAATAAAAAGAAAATTTTTTTTCTGTAGAAAATCTTAAATTTTGCAGTAATTCACTTTGAGAAAACGTATGATATGTGAATGTGTGAAGTTAAGGGTAGATACAAAGATAAATTCTTAGAGGAAATTAACTCAGTGACTTTTATGCTTTTCCTGTAATGAAAATATCACAGTTATTTCAAAATTGTGTAACTATTTAAACCTGGTAATTTTATGCCAAGAAAGAAATAAAACTTAATTTACAAATAAAAACCTAAAGTTTCAAAAATTAACAAGAAAAGTTGAGTGTTTTCATCTAACAGTGCTGAAATTCACTGTTAATTACTAATCTTTGTTTGTAATTTTAATTTTGTATTTTTCCCTATAACAAAGTATGAGTCCTTTATTATTATTATTAGTAGTAGTAGTAGCAGCAGCTTTTACTGCTATATTATAATTAATTTTGTAAATTACACATCACAGTAGGTAAAAAGTATCCCTAAAATAGTAGAAGAAGAAGCAAATTCTTGATACTGTATATAATTTAAATACAGTAGAGCGTCGTTTATCCGAAACGTCAGTTATCCGAAAGAATTCCAGTCAGCAAATTTAAATTTTCGCTAGTGCTGTGGTGCTACAATCTTTGGCTATATCTTGGACTACTCCAATATTTTTTTTATTGATGTGTTTGTGATGTGGCACTTTTGTGCGGTATTTTTCTGAGGACTGTGTGTCATGCTGAATCGAACGTTTTTGATACTAGATCAACTTCTAAAGTATATATTTTTATTGTTTTTATATTTTTCAATATATTTATTTTGTTTGTACAAAATAAAGAAATAATTTTTAATGATACAATAGCCACGATTATTATTTTAAAAAGTTTACATTAGGTTTAACATCGATGAAAATTCATCACAAAGCGACACGCAACGGAGAAAAATTTCAACATGGGATAGGTTAATATATTTTTTTCGTACGTAATCGGTTATCCGAACAACCCCAGTCTCCAATTGATTCAGATAAACGACCCTCTACTATATATTAAAAGAGAAAAGTTATACAATAAAGCAAATAAATCTGTGGCTTCCATTAAAAGTTAAATTTTAACCAAATTTTTAATCTCTTCAGTTTTTTAAAAATTGATTCTTAAAAATGTTCTTTTTGAAAATGAGAAAATTTTAAAAATAAATTGTTTCTTATAAAAATAAAATTTTCAAATTTCAAATGAAAATACACAGAAAGCATATGGTTTTAAAATTAAATCAGTATAAGTTTAGTATCAAGTATAACATCTTAATTACTGATTAAAATCAGTAATTATTTGATATGGAAACTGCATGTTTTTGAAACACATTTTTAATCTTAAATGGATTACTTTCAAATTAAAATTTATTCTTATAATAAATGCTCAACTTTTAAAAGGAATGCTTTTCAGTATCAATTTTGAAAGAATCAAAGATTAGGGTAAGTCTCGAAAATATTTTTTCCAATTAAAAAGTTTACTTCTAAAATAAGCCTTAAGTTTATTTCTATTTTTTGATAAAAACTGATTTTAGTTATAAATGAATTTCTTTTATAGTAATAAAGATTGTTGTTGCCGTTATTTAGTAAATTCAATACTACATTCTATTTATAAACAAATCAAAGGAAAATAAAAAGAATGTATCATTGATGAACTTGATCATTCTACTTGTTAGTAATGATGATATATAAAAATATTTATAATTGGAATTATCATTTTAAGATGATCAAATGAATAAATTTTAAAAAGTAAATCTTTAGATAAAATATCTTAAAACACAAATATATTGTAAAATAAACGCTATAACAAACATCCAATATAATTTAAAACAAATAAATCAAATTACTGTTTATTTCATAGAGCAAACATTTTTTATTAAACAAAAGAAACATTTCAGTTCTACATAATTTAATTTTTACATTTAAAAATTTTAAATCTTCCCAATATTTTCATGTGAAGATTTTTCACAATATGTAATTTTGTGATTCAGCCCATTCTTTTGCTTTACAAATAGTTATTTTTGAAAAATACCATTATACAAAATATACTTTATGTATTTTCTAAATATATATATATATTTTTTTTTAATCAAATTTAATACAATAAACCCTACAAAGTGTAATTAACTCAGATTTTAACTAGACATTGTTCTGGATTAAATACAAATTAAAATATAAAGTACCATAACAGGAATAATTGTATTATTATTTTTCCATTGATCATAAAGTCTTATTAGTATTTTGTTTGAAATATGAAGACATCTGTTTAATTACAAAGTAATAATAAAAATGTAACAATTAATTAAAAAAATTATTAGCTACATCTAGCAAATGGGCCTACTAAGCTTATTCCGTTATAATTAATTTTGATTCTTGAATTCATGTTCATTTTTGAGAATGAATCAGCTCAAACTACTGCATTTTAAGAGAAGAGTGATAAATAATTAGAAGTTATATAAATTTAATAAAAGTAGAATAATTCAATTGTTCTACTTTTATTAATATTTAATATATATATGCATAACTATATAAATAACACATTAACACATTTTTAGAAATTTTGAAAAAAATAAAATAAAACAACTCAAAAGAATATATCTAGCAAATATCCTTTTTTTTTTTTTTTTGAAGAAATTTATTGGAAGAAACTCTTAAACAGACAAAGAAAAAAAATATAATTGAAAAAGGAGCGAAAAACTTTTTTCTACAGTCCAAAAAATTTTTGAAATTAATCTGACTGGAATATTAAATACAAGGAAATTTCTGTAATGACAAGCTGCAAATATATGTTTTGAAATAAGAGATGCTATAATCCAGATTGGTTGCATAACATTTAAAAATCAATTAGCTACATTTCATGAACAAATGCATTCAGGGCAATATATGCCAACCAAAAGTAAAAAATTTTGGCTATTTATGACAACATAACATATATGTGGTATATCAAAAAGTTGTAAAATGTTTCTAAGAAAGAAAAGTGAATGTAATCAATAGCAGATCCAGAAATCTTTAGTGGAGGTGTAGAAAGGAAACACCATCTTTCAAAATTTTTTACTACTTTAAATACTTATGAAAAATCCTTAGAAGGGGGGATATAGCTGCATCCTGCACACCCCTCAGTGAAATATTACATGTGATAATTTTTTAATTTTATTCTCTTTACAAAAAATTTATGTGAAAACTTTACATCATATGGAACAATTCATTATAATGAACCTGAATTTCTATACCATGCTTAGTTTTGAAACATACATGGTGACTAGCTGTAAAACCACCCCACTTATTTCAAGACTGTGAAATCTCAGATTTAGGTAGAGAACTGCAATAGGAGACAAATTTCTCTTTGTACAGTGATGCTTAGCCAGATGTCTTTACTATTCAACTTCCTTTTAAAGAAGACCATAGATTGTGTATGATGGAATGAACTTTGTCCAACTGCTTATAGAGTAGCACAAGATCATGAGTTTTTCAGAATGAAAGATGTGTCAAGTATAGGGTCTCCTCAACAAAAGCTGCACTTTTTCTTTTGAATTTGATGAGATGTGCTAACATATTTCATCTTAAATTATAAGGACTGTATATTGTAAGGATTATAAGGATATATAAACAACTCAGAGAAGATAAAAGTTTCAAGAGAAATACACTTTGGAACCAGCCTATGGTTATGACAACATAGTAATAAACTAAGCTGTAACTCTAGTCTAATCCATCACGTTTTACAATGAACTAGTGGAAAGAAGTGCTACTTTGTAGTATCCATATGAAATAGAATAAATCAAATGTAACTGCATACTACCACCAAGAATTATAACAATTAAAAAAAGAACAACTGTCTGCTGACATTAGAAAGACATTTAATAACAGGAAAACTCACAAATACTTTCAATATTGCATTAATATCACTTTCAGGCAAGGTAAATAAAACATTAAACACACATAGATTTGAAAAGTTTCAACATTATGTTCAGATTATTACTTAATTTATTATAACAACTGTAGTAATTAAATTTTAAATGTATTCATTCATATTGTTTTAAATGTTGATATAATATTTTACAGGAATGGTATTTTGATTTTCATTTATTTTTCCATTTGAAATAAAAGTGGGTTTTGCAAGCCCAAATGGTAGGTTGACAATCAAATTTCCTACTAGAATAAATATTTTACTTATTCTGTGGAAATCAATCTAGTAACATTAAATATATATATATATATATATTTGTTATAAAATTGATGAATAAATAAATACAAGAAAAAAATTAAAGTTCAAAAGGTTGTATTTATAGTGCAACTATTTAAGAGTTTATCTACTTTGGGATCCTAAAAGAATGTAAAATTTACACAGAATTGCCGATAATATCAATATAGGTCCTCTTAAAAGATTTTCAGATCTGCTAACACTGAATTTGATTTGTCTAAATGGAAATCATGTAATTAAACAACCACATATAATCTTAACTGTAATATAACACTATTTTTAAATCATTAGGATTTAAAAATGATGAGAAGTAGGTTTCTAAATTAGCTTTGTAACATTAATTTATACTTTAAATAAATTATAAATGGCATTTATATATGAAGTCTTGAATTTAACAATTATTTTAACATTTTTTTAATTTTTGATTCAATAAACTTCTTGACAATCACTATATTCTCTGTTACATAATTCCAATTTATTTCCTCACTTTGCAGATGTTGTTAGGTATACATTTTCTTTTGTTTTATTATAAACTTTCTTTTTCTGGTTTCGTTTTAAATGAATTTATGGAAATGGTTTCTGGGACTATCTATATTTTATAAAATAATATATACAACAATTAAAATTTTACATGTACCATATTGTAATGAAAATAACATTAATAGTAAAAATTACATCTTAAAAATTTTTCTCACAATTTTTTGTAATATTACAAACTTATAAAACAGAAAATAATACATATTGTTTAAAATTAATTTTGTATAATTTTACATATATCTAATAAATTTCAATAAATAACAACTACAGAGCAAACAGAATTAAATTATTTTTAGCATAAAATATTATTAAAAAAATAAAAATAATTAAAATGTTAATTAAATGTGTGTTTAATTCATATAAATGTCCATAGATCACGATGATTTTAACAAGAGAATGTAATTTTGATATATAATAATATGTGGCATTACCATCTTACTATAATTTTCATTGAAAAATTGAAATATATCATATTCATCATACTTTAGATCTGAGATATTCTTTAATGTTATAAGGCATGTAAAGTTTAAATATTTATGTTCATATCAAAAAATATATTTTCAATTGAAATTTAGAATAATACCTCAGACTTTGAAAAAAAATCATGATATATTGCATATGGACTTAAGTAAAACCACAAAAATCAGGAAAATTATCAAAATTTGTCAATAAAGCTGTAAACCACTATTCACAATTGCAGTGAATATAAACAGCTAAATCTGAATTATCTAATGTTCTGATCAATCATACAAGAATGAGGAATATTTGCCATATATTAGCAATAAAACAAGGATAGGGCTTAAAATTTCATAATGCTCTACATGTAAGATATATGAAGACAAAAATGGTGCTAAATGCTTTGGCATAAATTGCCTCTAAACAAAAATATAATGCATATAAAAAAATTTAATTGTAAAAAGTAATCATATTTCTTCATTAATCAAAATGATCATTTATAATTATAAAAAAATAAGTTGCATGTTTAATATATATGTTTATTTTGAATGTTTTTGAATATTATATATGAAAATGAAAAAGCGATTGTATTAATGAATATAATTTTGGAAGTTTTAAAAATTTATGATTAAATCATCATATAAACAAGAACTTTTCATTTGAATAAAATGTAATACAAATATCCATTTACACAGAAAAAAATTAATTTTTTTTAACTCATATTTTTTAGTGTTAATAGAAGTCTCCAAATAGCAAAGCAAAACACACCCTTTAAAAAACTTACCTCTTTAGTTACATTTTCTTCTCCCTGACCGATTTAAAACAAAAGAGAAAATATTTAAACACACATTTATATAATGCAAGTTTTTAAATCTATTAGTAATTCAATAATGAGATTTATTTCCTAATATAAGATAATTTTAGAAAATTTTAAAATAATATTTCAGAAATCTTACTTTAACAATAAGATTGAAGTATTACAAATTTATAAATCATAAATGCAATCACAAGTAACCTGCCTTACATACGAAAAAATTTCCTTTTAATATAAAAACTTTTAAATAAAACTTTTGCAAAGTTTTGCTTAATCAGCAAATTTTTCAAACAATTTATGCCTTTTTTAATATATTATGCAAAATACAAATTTTACATAATTTATAAATTTAGATCCATTATAATTAATTAAAATGTCTCACTCTGTGTATAGTCTGGAATGCAAAATAAATGGTGATCCCTCTTGGACAAACTTACAGACTTGTCTTTGATTTATTTAATATAAAATTGATGTTATTTATCTAAGTAACATTTCCTATCTATTTTATTCAATTTAAAATTTATCTATTAATGAAAAATAATAATTCAACTGTTTTTTAATATTACATTTTTAAAATTTTCATATGATTGACAACAAAACATTTGCCAACATTTTTATTTTATGAGTATTTTTATTTTTTTTTGTATGAAAAAAATGGCTATTTTCATCTCAACCACGAATATTGATAGAATAAGAGTTGGATTTTGTTTGGAGAGTTTAAAACTATTTTACAAAAGAGCATTTGTAATTGTTTAAAAAGTAACTTATTTTAATTCTATTTTTTATATAAAGCAACAAGGATGAACTAGCTAATGTAGTTAATCTATTGAATTCATCAATGCACTTTATACAATGGATGAAAGGAATGCTAATGATTTTGATCCAATTAATAAATCAACATTTTGTACCTAATGTAAATTTAACATTTAATAATCACTCAAAATATTAATTTTATTTGGGTAAAACTGTAATTATAATTAAATATAATGTAATAACAATTCAAAATAAAAAATTTCTAACCTCAACACCTTGGGTCCGAGCATTTGTTAAAGAAGTAAGAGTGACACCCACCTGATCGGGATTGGCATTATCTGCATAGGTACTTCCACTAGAAAACATTTAGAATAATTATTTAAATATATTATAAAATATTTTACATAAATTTATGATTTCATATAATTATCAATTTGTGAATGGCAATAACAAAAATACTGAAAAATCCACTGTTATTTATTCTATATAATAATCTGACTTAAATTTANTCTGGTTTCGTTTTAAATGAATTTATGGAAATGGTTTCTGGGACTATCTATATTTTATAAAATAATATATACAACAATTAAAATTTTACATGTACCATATTGTAATGAAAATAACATTAATAGTAAAAATTACATCTTAAAAATTTTTCTCACAATTTTTTGTAATATTACAAACTTATAAAACAGAAAATAATACATATTGTTTAAAATTAATTTTGTATAATTTTACATATATCTAATAAATTTCAATAAATAACAACTACAGAGCAAACAGAATTAAATTATTTTTAGCATAAAATATTATTAAAAAAATAAAAATAATTAAAATGTTAATTAAATGTGTGTTTAATTCATATAAATGTCCATAGATCACGATGATTTTAACAAGAGAATGTAATTTTGATATATAATAATATGTGGCATTACCATCTTACTATAATTTTCATTGAAAAATTGAAATATATCATATTCATCATACTTTAGATCTGAGATATTCTTTAATGTTATAAGGCATGTAAAGTTTAAATATTTATGTTCATATCAAAAAATATATTTTCAATTGAAATTTAGAATAATACCTCAGACTTTGAAAAAAAATCATGATATATTGCATATGGACTTAAGTAAAACCACAAAAATCAGGAAAATTATCAAAATTTGTCAATAAAGCTGTAAACCACTATTCACAATTGCAGTGAATATAAACAGCTAAATCTGAATTATCTAATGTTCTGATCAATCATACAAGAATGAGGAATATTTGCCATATATTAGCAATAAAACAAGGATAGGGCTTAAAATTTCATAATGCTCTACATGTAAGATATATGAAGACAAAAATGGTGCTAAATGCTTTGGCATAAATTGCCTCTAAACAAAAATATAATGCATATAAAAAAATTTAATTGTAAAAAGTAATCATATTTCTTCATTAATCAAAATGATCATTTATAATTATAAAAAAATAAGTTGCATGTTTAATATATATGTTTATTTTGAATGTTTTTGAATATTATATATGAAAATGAAAAAGCGATTGTATTAATGAATATAATTTTGGAAGTTTTAAAAATTTATGATTAAATCATCATATAAACAAGAACTTTTCATTTGAATAAAATGTAATACAAATATCCATTTACACAGAAAAAAATTAATTTTTTTTAACTCATATTTTTTAGTGTTAATAGAAGTCTCCAAATAGCAAAGCAAAACACACCCTTTAAAAAACTTACCTCTTTAGTTACATTTTCTTCTCCCTGACCGATTTAAAACAAAAGAGAAAATATTTAAACACACATTTATATAATGCAAGTTTTTAAATCTATTAGTAATTCAATAATGAGATTTATTTCCTAATATAAGATAATTTTAGAAAATTTTAAAATAATATTTCAGAAATCTTACTTTAACAATAAGATTGAAGTATTACAAATTTATAAATCATAAATGCAATCACAAGTAACCTGCCTTACATACGAAAAAATTTCCTTTTAATATAAAAACTTTTAAATAAAACTTTTGCAAAGTTTTGCTTAATCAGCAAATTTTTCAAACAATTTATGCCTTTTTTAATATATTATGCAAAATACAAATTTTACATAATTTATAAATTTAGATCCATTATAATTAATTAAAATGTCTCACTCTGTGTATAGTCTGGAATGCAAAATAAATGGTGATCCCTCTTGGACAAACTTACAGACTTGTCTTTGATTTATTTAATATAAAATTGATGTTATTTATCTAAGTAACATTTCCTATCTATTTTATTCAATTTAAAATTTATCTATTAATGAAAAATAATAATTCAACTGTTTTTTAATATTACATTTTTAAAATTTTCATATGATTGACAACAAAACATTTGCCAACATTTTTATTTTATGAGTATTTTTATTTTTTTTTGTATGAAAAAAATGGCTATTTTCATCTCAACCACGAATATTGATAGAATAAGAGTTGGATTTTGTTTGGAGAGTTTAAAACTATTTTACAAAAGAGCATTTGTAATTGTTTAAAAAGTAACTTATTTTAATTCTATTTTTTATATAAAGCAACAAGGATGAACTAGCTAATGTAGTTAATCTATTGAATTCATCAATGCACTTTATACAATGGATGAAAGGAATGCTAATGATTTTGATCCAATTAATAAATCAACATTTTGTACCTAATGTAAATTTAACATTTAATAATCACTCAAAATATTAATTTTATTTGGGTAAAACTGTAATTATAATTAAATATAATGTAATAACAATTCAAAATAAAAAATTTCTAACCTCAACACCTTGGGTCCGAGCATTTGTTAAAGAAGTAAGAGTGACACCCACCTGATCGGGATTGGCATTATCTGCATAGGTACTTCCACTAGAAAACATTTAGAATAATTATTTAAATATATTATAAAATATTTTACATAAATTTATGATTTCATATAATTATCAATTTGTGAATGGCAATAACAAAAATACTGAAAAATCCACTGTTATTTATTCTATATAATAATCTGACTTAAATTTATCTATTAAAATAATTATCCATGTATTATATGAAATAGGATACCTTGATTTACTTTGTTCATAAGTTACATTTCTTGATTGAGCAAACATATCAAAATCATCATTTGAATGGGTGGGCGCTTTATTTGTTGCTGTTACTGTATTTATTTGACTTAAGGCAACAGAAGCACTTGCAGATCCTACACCTAAAAAGAAAATACATAAAATCATAATTTTAATGAAATCATGTTTACTTGTAAAAATTTAATGTTTTCTTCACATAACATTCAAATTATATTTGCATGTATATAAATATTCTAAAATGTATCATAAAAATGAATTAATTCTCTGATCACAAATCAAATTCATTAAAAAAATAAATCCTTTCTTTTTCCTCAGCTTAGAAATCTATTCAATAATAAACTTCAATAAATTAACTATCTTGATATTTAAATAAATATTTTTCACAACTCAATTGCTTTTTCTAGTTTTATTGCTTACAAAATTATTTAATGTTAAAATTTAAATAAAATATTGTAGTACACAGTACTGCTTTAAACATTATTACTTTGTCATTCTAAGATTAATTAATACTTTCAAAGAAAAAAAAACAACTATATATAAAATATAAGAAAAATTATATATTTTTCTTAAAATACTGATTATTATAGATATTTCAGATGAGTTTCAAATGAAATGCTTAAATGTTTCATAAATCTTAATTCTACTTTTCTGGACGATAACATTCTTTCTCACATTATATAACTTTGCCAGACATTTTTCTTTAACTGCTTTGGCTGATTTATATGTAGCTATTACTTCCACAATGCATTTGTGTTCTTAACTCCCATTATTAACTTTTATTAACTGTCCTTATGAAAAATTATATATTTTTCTTAAAATACTGATTATTATAGATATTTCAGATGAGTTTCAACTGGAATGCTTAAATGTTTCATAAATCTTAATTCTACTTTTCTGGACGATAACATTCTTTCTCACATTATATAACTTTGCCAGACATTTTTCTTTAACTGCTTTGGCTGATTTATATGTAGCTATTACTTCCACAATGCATTTGTGTTCTTAACTCCCATTATTAACTTTTATTAACTGTCCTTATGAAAAATTATATATTTTTCTTAAAATACTGATTATTATAGATATTTCAGATGAGTTTCAACTGGAATGCTTAAATGTTTCATAAATCTTAATTCTACTTTTCTGGACGATAACATTCTTTCTCACATTATATAACTTTGCCAGACATTTTTCTTTAACTGCTTTGGCTGATTTATATATAGCTATTACTTCCACAATGCATTTGTGTTCTTAACTCCCATTATTAACTTTTATTAACTGTCCTTATGATTTCAGACCTTTCTTTTTACATTGACTATAATACTTCATGTTCTCCCTGTAAATTTTTACTACCTGGACCAAAAAACAAGTTCTGCATAATATTATAAAATTCTTCTATTATTTGTAAATACTACACCTCTTTCTCTACAAGTACATACATTATAAATATTTAATTAGTTTCTAAAATCTGACATCTTCTGATCTTTACACATTTTTTCTACTCTATTCTATTCATTTTCATTTCTTGATGTGTCTCTTTTCTATCATTTTTCCTATATCTTCTTCCCAGATCTTTCTCTCTCATTTTTTGTGGTTTTGTTTCATGGTTATCCATGACAATTTGTGTATTTGTATCCTCACGTAACCATATCATATTAACTGCCTTCTGTTCACAGTATTTCATCAATAATCAATTCCTTTATATTCATTACATCTTTTTTCATTTTTTTTATTTTGTGCACAAATAATCTTCACAATCTAACCCAGGCATGGCCAACATACGGCCCGTCTAATGAATTTATACAGTCCGCGATCAATCTTTCAATAATAGCTAGTTAAGTCCGAATAGCCCAATGAAAAATTCTGATGCCTAAAAGAAGAAGAAGAAGAAAAAAAAAAAAAAAAGGTTCAACAACTCACTGTGCGTTTAGAGTTAATGCTCCATTACAAATGACTTAAGTACAGCATAGAATGTTGATAATGCATGATAATGTGAAAAATGTATCTGTAATCCCTATGTACAATTTAGTCTCTATGGGGTGACACCACAATGAGGTCTCGTACCACCACAAAATCTTTCTAGGGCAGCCTCTGGTTCGACCCACGAAAAAAGTTTTTTTCCAATTCGGCCCGGGGGCAAAAACTATTGGCCACCCCTGATGTAGCTAGTGTAACCATTTCAACTGCACTTAACCAGCTTTCATTTTTTGATATTTCCTACATTTTGGTTCCATATAATACATAATCTCATTACAGTGTTACATATACAGTACAATCCATTTAAGAAGCTTCTGAATGAAAAGTTTTCCCACATAAGAAGTCCAAATTTTCCAGTCCCAGCATTTACACCATAAGATGTGCATCAAAATTTCCAGCGTAACAAATTTTCCCATGTAAGAAATTGCAAAATATCAGTTCCATCAACTTTTACCCACTTAAGAAGTTTCCACTGGAGACAAGTTGTAATGTTTTTCTTCATCATAACTTTACTGTTTTTATAAAGTAACTCCAGATATTCACCGTATTGTATATCAAACACCTGCACACCTGTGATGGTCATTAATTTTGCTGAGTTTTTGTTGTTTTCACCATAATTCCTATCTAGGATTGTCTATCAGATACTTAATCACCTGCTATAATCAGTGCATGTTACTATTCTACTTTACTATATTATGCTATGTTATATTACCTTGATATTGAAATAAAACTGAATATACAAATTCCTGCAAAAGAAGTTTTTACAGCAGTCTCTTCAAAAATTTCTTAACAGGTTCTACTGTATTTCATTTTCTTTTTAAGATTTTGGAATTCCACCAGATTTTGTTTAGCCTCTTAAACTGCATTTCCTTGTTTTTCTTGTTTTCTATTGCTCAATTATATTTCCCATCTTGGCTTAATTTCATTCTTACATATTTGTAATGGTCATATACTCTAAGTTCTACATTTTCCTTTCTTTTATACTATTACTGTATATTCTTTCCTTACATAATAGTTTGTTTTTATTAACTATAAGCTTAATAATAGCCTACTATAGCTAGATTTATTACACCATTAAGAATACAAACAAGCTAAGAAGTCAGTCACTATGAAGTATATTACTTTATTAACACTTTTTTCTGATTGGTATATACTTTAGACACAGTCCCTCAGTAGCCAACTTGTTATATCAGTGGCACTAATAAAATTAGAAAACTATTAATTTTAGCCATACACAATATCATAAATTAGTGTAACAATATAACTTACATGTATCACTAAATTTACATTAGCCATTGCACACAAACAATATTAAAGTTCATTATACAATTGACTTGCTGTATGTTAGATTTCAATGTAAAACCATCTCTGTAATTCAAAACAATATGGTAGACGTGTCTCCATTAATATTAAAGTTATCTTTCTACATTTCTTGACAATAGACATTGAGTACCCAAACAGGTACAGTACATACTGACTATAATGACCTATTATAATTAATATAAAACAAAATTACAAAATTCTTTCCAAAGTATGAGAAATATAATATTCTTTCTAAAATACAAAAATATAATTAACCAATGCTACACACTTATTGAAATTTTATTTTAGTGCAGGTATATAGGATGTAATTCTTCAAATTCAAGTTATATAACATAAAGCCTAATAAATATTCCTTTTAAAAAATTGTTTATATCTACTTTTTTTCTTAATTTAAGCTTATATTTTTTTGTAATTGTAAAATATATATAATACATTGTTTATAAAAATAAATTTATTTTCATTTTATAAAACTATTTAATAATATAAACTATAATGCATTTGGGTCTTTGAAGAAAACTGTCATCTATTTAATTAACTTATATTTTCTAGATAAAGTATCTTTTACATTAAATAAACAATAATAAAATATCTTATCGCAAAATCAAATTCATAAAACATTTTAATCCTGAAAGAATTGTCGAAAGGAATAAATTCTGTTGATTCAATTTAGAATTATCTAAGCCAGATTTTATGTAAAAATATCATATAATTAGTTATAAATAAATATTAATTTAGTTACCCATTCCAGCTAGCTGATTATGTATGTCATCAGCACTAGTGCCCTCATTCTCTCCAAAATCAATTAAAGGCTTTCCTTCAGACTGTGGTGGTGGTGGTGATGACTATAAATAATTTTAAAATGATAAAAATTAATAACATTCAGTTTTTATAATATTCACTAAAACAAAAATAAAGACTCGAACAAGCCAGTTACACTTTATATCTTAATTTAAAAATTTGGAACTTTACAAAAGTATTATACCTAACTTTAGCATCTTGGAAGTTTTTATGCTGAGTAAATCGCACAAAAAAATATTAATCTATACCTTGTATTTTAGTTAATTCAATTTATTAATTTATTTAAACATTTTTAGTTTACCAAGTTACTTTTTTATAAGAATTTTTATTTAAAATTATTTTTAATTTTTTAAGTGTTAATATTTGTTAAAAACTATTAAATTTTTAACATTTTCATGCTGTAATTTGTTCAAACTTTGTTTCATATTCACTGACACTGCTAAAAGATGCTCTAACATTCATCCAAATTATTGTAGGTGCAATGACTAAGGCAAAAAGTAAGTTCAAAGCCTTTTTCTGTAATAATGCTTGTTTTCCTAATTTATTATTATGGTGACATTGATTCATCCAAACTATGTAGTTGTAGTCTGTATAGTGCACTGTATTCATATGCTGAGTTTTATTCTAGTCTGCTTCCAGTATTCTTTATTTAGATGTTTTTGCTAAGCTTTATTTTTCAATCTACTTCCAGCAGTTTTTTAATGGGATTTCAAGTATTTTTCAGTCATTAATAACTTCATAATAGAATAATTTTATAGTAACCTAACAATCACGTGATAGTCATGCTATGTGATAACTGATTAAATCTAGTAATATTCATCAATTGAATTAAAATTATTCTACAAAGATTTATACCAGGGTGCAGCTGAAAAATCTACATTTACCAGTGCTTGCTTCTAGTAGATATAAAGCTGTAGTAGATCTAGCTGTACAGTCCCCAAGCGGTATGGATGGAAAATGAATGATGATGTCTGTGGCTTTACCAGTCTGAATTTTAAAACTTTTATGTTTTTAACTGGATATTTTTTTGTTTTTTAAAGGAAGTTTTAATTTTGATGGCCAAGTAGCCTACAATGAAAGGTCGGTTATTAAAAGTTTGTATGCTGGAACAGTGTAAGTGAATAAATGATGATTCCTTTTTCAATAGATTGTCTTCAATTTAATTTTAAATTTATTCATCAACCATTGATATTTTACAATTGAATTATTTTTTGTTGTTACATATAAACTCTTAGACTGCCAAAAACTTTCTGAATATAAACAGATTTAGATGCATATGATTTGGGACATTTTCAAGTAAATCAATTGCTTTAATTTTTAGTAACTTTTCTTCTTTACAAAATTTTCCATTATGAAAATTGTAGCATAAAGCATTTCCAGTTATGCAACGTTTAGTTTATATAATAAAAATAGACTTGGGTCAATTACTGTTGGAAATCAGAAATTCATGGTAAGTCTGCCACCAACTTGTGGGAGTAATAATTTATGGTTTATTCAATTCATAAAGTTGCTAAACTCCTCAAAAGTTCTCCTTTCATTTGATCATCAGTAGTAATAATAATAAATGTAATTTTTTCAAAAAATACCATTAAGATTATTTATTTACATATATAAAATTATTTTTATATATGTAAATAAACTACATGATATATACTTTATTTGAAGATATATACTTTATTTATTGAGTTATGATTACATGATATATACTTTATTTGAAGATATATACTTTATTTATTGAGTTACAATTTTAAAAATTATTTTTAAAATAATTTTGTTTAGCTTTTTCAAATTTTAAAGGCTTTTCTTTATACAGTGTGTCCACTAAATAAAAAGAAAAACTCTATATATAGAAAAAAAGCAAGCACAGGAAGATATATACTTTATTTATTGAGTTACAATTTTAAAAATTTGTAGACGTATAAATTCTCACTGTCATCCATCCACTCTGTCCTTCCTTAATCTCAAGAATGGTGTTAGATAAAAGTCAACACCAAATATGGAAAGTTTAGGGGCAGGAGTTCCCAATTAACTATATATGGACTTCCAGTATAGACTGGAAGTCATGTGATTTCAATTCAAAAATTTCCCCCAGAATGGAGTTACATAGATGACTGGTATGACTCGTCAGGAAAAGCATGATGTATATGGGCAAGCCACTAATAATTTGAGATTCAGACTATATATTTTAAATTAAATAAATTAAAAATATGACTAAAAATTGCAGCCCTGCATTATGACAATGTCACAATAATTTTGCTTGTTTTCAATATAAGTTCTCCTTAACTGAGTACAATGTTCAGTGTTTGTACAAAATTTCAAACCATCATTAGTAAGCATCTAAAGATATAGCTAGCATTAAGCTTGGAAATCATATTCCTCTGGTTCACTACCAAGTTGGACTGGAGTTCTTTCAATTTTGTTTTCGATTTTGGAAACAAAATTATCTACCTGTGCCAAATCTGACAGATGTTTGAGGACTGTGGTAGATTTTAAGCTGCATCATGTTTAATGCATAATATACAAATGCATATTTGTGAGGCAACAGTCATTGTTCAAACTGATCATCTCTCATTTCTTTCATGCATTGATTCCAACATTGCTTGATATATAATATTGACTGTTAAATAATTGTTAATTCAATAATTGCCATTGAGCTACTCACAAATTGTTTCCATATTTTCATCAATCTGTACTGAAACAGTTTTTCCTGGCTGTAGATTGAATCCATACTATCTTGAATTCATCTGAACTACTCAAAAACTCAAGCATGTGATATACAGCCATCTCTGTATGCCATTTTCAGTTCATTAAATTTTTCTGAAGCAGATTTACTCAGATAAAAGAAAACTTTTATCATTGCTCATTGTTCCATTTTAAAATTGTTAATGAGATCTCACTTAAATCACATCTATATAAGAATTAACAGTGCTCTCACAAAGTGCATCTATTCATTGAAAAAAGCATACTATAGAGATTAAACTGATGTACTATTTTGCATATTTTATTTTACAGTATATCTGTAAAATAATCAGTATTATTATTTAATGGGCACACTGTGTGTATTAATTAAAAAAAAAGTTTTTTATTACAAATATCAATTTCTAGATTAATACCTGTTTATTCTGTACAGGTGATGCTCCACTTTGATTCACAGCAGTACGTTTCTTTTCAAATCGCTCATATCGAAGAAATAGATTATTCAGTTCATCATTCACTCTAAGTAATTCATCTGAAATATTATAGAATAATGTTGCTGATGATGATATTTATAATTTATTTTAAATAAAAAGTTAAAATAACCTAAAAAATTATAAAATGTTTTCATTATATGTTATTAAATTATCAAGCAAGTTCTTTCTGCATAAACACAATCAATTTTAAAAAGTTCACTAAAAACAATTTTTATTTTTCTAAAAGTGTCTTTGTACAAAACACAGTTTAACATTCAAGAAAAGTTTCTTTAACATATAGTCTTTTAGTTTGGTAAAACTGGTTGATTGCTTTGTTAACCTGAATCATCAGTAAGTACATTGAGATTATATGGCAAGGAAGAATTTTGTCCACTAAACACAGGTCTAACAAGCAGTAGGAATAGCAAGAAAGGATGAGGAATGGGAGATGTTTGTTTGTTTGTTAAGTTATGACAATGCAACACTTGGGTGATCTATCTAGAGGGATGCCTTCCAGAGATTTTTTTAAGGGTAACTGGTCCCTATTCAGGCATTACAGGTGTGGAGAAAACCTGAAAAACTCCACATGACCAGCCCATCCTGGCGAAGTGCAAACCCACNTTTGATCATCAGTAGTAATAATAATAAATGTAATTTTTTCAAAAAATACCATTAAGATTATTTACATATATAAAAATAATTTTATGTATGTAAATAAACTACAATTATTTTTAAAATAATTTTGTTTAGCTTTTTCAAATTTTAAAGGCTTTTCTTTATACAGTGTGTCCACTAAATAAAAAGAAAAACTCTATATATAGAAAAAAAGCAAGCACAGGAAGATATATACTTTATTTATTGAGTTACAATTTTAAAAATTTGTAGACGTATAAATTCTCACTGTCATCCATCCACTCTGTCCTTCCTTAATCTCAAGAATGGTGTTAGATAAAAGTCAACACCAAATATGGAAAGTTTAGGGGCAGGAGTTCCCAATTAACTATATATGGACTTCCAGTATAGACTGGAAGTCATGTGATTTCAATTCAAAAATTTCCCCCAGAATGGAGTTACATAGATGACTGGTATGACTCGTCAGGAAAAGCATGATGTATATGGGCAAGCCACTAATAATTTGAGATTCAGACTATATATTTTAAATTAAATAAATTAAAAATATGACTAAAAATTGCAGCCCTGCATTATGACAATGTCACAATAATTTTGCTTGTTTTCAATATAAGTTCTCCTTAACTGAGTACAATGTTCAGTGTTTGTACAAAATTTCAAACCATCATTAGTAAGCATCTAAAGATATAGCTAGCATTAAGCTTGGAAATCATATTCCTCTGGTTCACTACGCCAGATTTTATGTAAAAATATCATATAATTAGTTATAAATAAATATTAATTTAGTTACCCATTCCAGCTAGCTGATTATGTATGTCATCAGCACTAGTGCCCTCATTCTCTCCAAAATCAATTAAAGGCTTTCCTTCAGACTGTGGTGGTGGTGGTGATGACTATAAATAATTTTAAAATGATAAAAATTAATAACATTCAGTTTTTATAATATTCACTAAAACAAAAATAAAGACTCGAACAAGCCAGTTACACTTTATATCTTAATTTAAAAATTTGGAACTTTACAAAAGTATTATACCTAACTTTAGCATCTTGGAAGTTTTTATGCTGAGTAAATCGCACAAAAAATTATTAATCTATACCTTGTATTTTAGTTAATTCAATTTATTAATTTATTTAAACATTTTTAGTTTACCAAGTTACTTTTTTATAAGAATTTTTATTNTTATGACAATGTCACAATAATTTTGCTTGTTTTCAATATAAGTTCTCCTTAACTGAGTACAATGTTCAGTGTTTGTACAAAATTTCAAACCATCATTAGTAAGCATCTAAAGATATAGCTAGCATTAAGCTTGGAAATCATATTCCTCTGGTTCACTACCAAGTTGGACTGGAGTTCTTTCAATTTTGTTTTCGATTTTGGAAACAAAATTATCTACCTGTGCCAAATCTGACAGATGTTTGAGGACTGTGGTAGATTTTAAGCTGCATCATGTTTAATGCATAATATACAAATGCATATTTGTGAGGCAACAGTCATTGTTCAAACTGATCATCTCTCATTTCTTTCATGCATTGATTCCAACATTGCTTGATATATAATATTGACTGTTAAATAATTGTTAATTCAATAATTGCCATTGAGCTACTCACAAATTGTTTCCATATTTTCATCAATCTGTACTGAAACAGTTTTTCCTGGCTGTAGATTGAATCCATACTATCTTGAATTCATCTGAACTACTCAAAAACTCAAGCATGTGATATACAGCCATCTCTGTATGCCATTTTCAGTTCATTAAATTTTTCTGAAGCAGATTTACTCAGATAAAAGAAAACTTTTATCATTGCTCATTGTTCCATTTTAAAATTGTTAATGAGATCTCACTTAAATCACATCTATATAAGAATTAACAGTGCTCTCACAAAGTGCATCTATTCATTGAAAAAAGCATACTATAGAGATTAAACTGATGTACTATTTTGCATATTTTATTTTACAGTATATCTGTAAAATAATCAGTATTATTATTTAATGGGCACACTGTGTGTATTAATTAAAAAAAAAGTTTTTTATTACAAATATCAATTTCTAGATTAATACCTGTTTATTCTGTACAGGTGATGCTCCACTTTGATTCACAGCAGTACGTTTCTTTTCAAATCGCTCATATCGAAGAAATAGATTATTCAGTTCATCATTCACTCTAAGTAATTCATCTGAAATATTATAGAATAATGTTGCTGATGATGATATTTATAATTTATTTTAAATAAAAAGTTAAAATAACCTAAAAAATTATAAAATGTTTTCATTATATGTTATTAAATTATCAAGCAAGTTCTTTCTGCATAAACACAATCAATTTTAAAAAGTTCACTAAAAACAATTTTTATTTTTCTAAAAGTGTCTTTGTACAAAACACAGTTTAACATTCAAGAAAAGTTTCTTTAACATATAGTCTTTTAGTTTGGTAAAACTGGTTGATTGCTTTGTTAACCTGAATCATCAGTAAGTACATTGAGATTATATGGCAAGGAAGAATTTTGTCCACTAAACACAGGTCTAACAAGCAGTAGGAATAGCAAGAAAGGATGAGGAATGGGAGATGTTTGTTTGTTTGTTAAGTTATGACAATGCAACACTTGGGTGATCTATCTAGAGGGATGCCTTCCAGAGATTTTTTTAAGGGTAACTGGTCCCTATTCAGGCATTACAGGTGTGGAGAAAACCTGAAAAACTCCACATGACCAGCCCATCCTGGCGAAGTGCAAACCCACAACCAAACTCCCAGTGTTCAGGGAACAGAACCACTTGACCACGGGTGGGCCTAAATGGGAGATGATGTCATATGTACATTAATGACAAATTTTGAAATATGGACTGAGTTTGAACCTAAGTCATTCATAGTAATAGGCACATGGCCATCTGGCTGACATTTCATAAATTTTGCAATGTGAAGCTGATAATCAAAGAAAATTAATTTAATTATTAAGTTCAGGAAATATTAAATTATAGTAATTTATAAAATGATAAAGTTTCATTAGCTTAAATCTTAAGCTTTAAAAAGAACTAACTACAGTAATACCCTGAACTTACGCAATAGGTGGGACAGAATGATAACCACTTAAGTCGAATTCGCGTAAGTTGGGGTATAATTTCGCAATTTGTGTAAAATCCAAGTCGGATGTATGTAAGCTAATAAATGTTCTTGTTAGTCTTATCTCTTCTTTTGATTCATTCACGGTTACAAGAAATCACCACATAGAGTCTCTCAAGTCTCCGTAAATATAACAAATACAGAAATAAATAACACAGAATAAATTGTAGCTATGTGTCGATTCTGTGCAACACATCCGAACATGTAAGCTGAACAATAGTGTGGGGGGAGTGAGTAATCGAGAGTTGCGCGGTGCTCAAACAAAAGACGAATCGACAAGATTTGAAAATCGCGTAACTCCAGGTTTGCGTAAGTCGAGGTATTACTGTATAGATTTTTCATATCAGAAGAAAAATATATTTTTGTTTAATCCATGACAATATTTGTTAAGATGATCATTATTTTCTTTTATACTACGAAAGTTTATAACTGACAATATATTTTAATCCCTAAATATTTTAAAATTGTTCACTTTTTTACTTATTGCAAAATCAAAAAATATATGTTTTAAGAAAATTAATTTTTGTTTTACATAAATTTTATTTAAATTAGTTAAATCTATATATAATTCTAATTTGAAATATTTTTGAAAATAATTAGGTTGTACAAAACTATCATCTAATGTGCCTATAACAAAATAGTTTAATTCTATGCTGCTAATTATTAAGAAATTTAGTTTTTGAAATTTAGTAGAGGAAAACTTTTAAATATTTATGATTTTATATAACCTCTATTTGTTTCATTAAAAAATAAAGTAAATCTATTTCTTTATTTGCATTACTTTAGATTAAATTGCTTTTATTATAATTTAAAATATTTAAACAGAAAACTAAGAAAAATGACCATTTTAAATAAAATATTTAAAGTTAAGATCCAGTTCAGTTCTGAATGGATTCAAAAAAATTTTTTTAATAACTGTCTTTTTTTTGGAATGAACTGACAATGGCTTGAAAGTCTGCAAAACATTAATCTGTATATAAATTCTGATTCTAATGAATGAATGAACAAACTATCAATACAATGTTAACTTTAACTAAATTATTATTTTCTTGCTTAAATAATTTTAATAGTCAGATTGAAAAAATGATAAAAGAAAGAAAAAGTCAATGGTATAGTGTATATATTTCTCAACAATAATAAAAAAAATCCAAAATTTGTGGTTGATTCAGATTTTTTCTTTATTTTACAACAAAAAACAAACTATCAAAATAATTTATCAGTGTCTAATAAACTCTTTTGAAAATGATTTATCGGGTACTGATATGAATTAATAAAATAAATTTTATCCTAATCAAATATAATTTCTATGAAAATACAGTAAAACTAAGGATAGTTGTAAATTAGAAAGTGTCAGAGCCCTAACCAGTGCAGAGTTTGATGACCAGTTGCAGAGTGCAATGTAGCGTAATAACGATCACTTGGCACTTACAGTGCAAAGTGATTTATTATGCTACATTGTGCTTATAGAACAAATAAAAAGAATGACACAGTTTCAAAATATGATATAAGAAAGTAGTATATTCACTTATAGGTTTGCTATGGATAGTGCAGAATCTTGATTATTTGAAGTTTGGATAATCAGGACTCTACTATACTTAAATTATTTATTTTTAAATTTATCTACTTTTAAAATTGTCACTGATTTTAATTTTTACACAATTGTTTAATATGTTTTGGTTTTATTTTCTTTCATGTTTGAAAATGTATCTGAATATCAGTACTAATTTTCCTATTAACTGATAACTAGAAACAATTTCAAAATTCTTAACTTTTAAATCAGTTTTTGCTAAAAGTAAAGAAACAAAAATTTATTATCTATTTTATCTTTAGAAAGAATTATAGATAATTCAGACAGACAAATTCATTTATCATATCTATAAATATATATATAATCTTACTTCCAACATAAACCAAAAGCAGTGCATAATTCAACTTTTACATCTTTCACTCAAGATCAGCTCAGTCTAATGTAAATTGGTTTGTCTATTTTTTCACCTGAAGAAGAACCAAAGGTTCGAAAACGTTAGTGAAAGATGTAAAAGTCGAATTAAGCACCATTTTTGGTTTATGTTGGAAGTAAGTTTCAGAAGTTATGGTGTGTTGTGGATGTAATATTATATATATAATCATTGACGATGAGGTAAAATACTGATTACTTTAAAAAATCTTAGTAAGATAAGGAAATATTGTTTTTATGAAAAAGTTAATGACTACAAAAAGTAATTAAATTTTCAGTATCTGAATTCATAATGATTTTTACATTTTTAATTTTCACATATATTTTTTAAATTTCTTTAATTTAGACAACATAAATACTTTTCTGAATGATAAATAAATAAAATTAATTTGGTCATTATTAAATTAACTAGCTATTATATTATTTAAATTTTATTTTATCATAATAAGCATTTCATTATTTTTTAAATATAAAACAGTGATATAAAAATACTATCAAAAACATAAAAAATAAAATTAATAAAAATTTTAACATCTAAGAGTTAAAATTTAATTAATTAATTAATTAAAAAAATAAAATTAATAAAAATTTTAAC